TGGAACTTCAACCCTGTCAACCTAAGTATAACGTTCTTGCACAGCCATTTTCAAATTAAATAGGACTATGGAAAGAGCCTGTACATGATAAGGCTGTGAACTATCCTCATGGGGGAAATGATGTCATGATAAATTTTGTCACCTAAAAATGGGCATGTGCCTTGGTGCCTGGTAACTCTCTGATCAAATTTCCAGGCATTCAACACCAATGGAAGCTTCCCTCCAGGGACTAATAACAGCTTTGAGAGTGTGGGTTTTTTGTTGTACGGTGCTACTTCAGGTTACAGACTCCGCTAACCCGGAAGTAGTACCTCAGGTTAAGAACTTTACCTCAGGATGAGAACAGAAATCGTGCAGCATCGGCACGGCAGCAGCGGGAGGCCCCATTAGCTGAAGTGGTACCTCAGGTCAGGCCCAGACAGGGGGGGGCATGTGGGCCACTAGGCCCGGGCCTCCAATTCCAAAGGGGACCTCAGTCAGCATATTCACAATCACAGGGGATTTATAAGACTTCAGTTATCCCCAGGGTAAAAAAAGGGGGGGCATATTATCTACCTGGCCCAGGCCTCTGCCTGGCTCTGCAAGGCCCTGCCTCAGGTTAAGAACAGTTTCAGGTTAAGAACGGACCTCTGGAACAAATGAAGTTCATAACCAGAGGTACCACTGTCATTTTGGTAAGGTTGGCATATGCCACATCCCACCCCTGACAGCAGCTGTTTACATTCTTTAAAAGAAGCACATTTGTTGCTTTCATGAAATTAACATAACACATCGTTTGAACCACATAACTATTCAAATGAGTTCAGCCTGCTGGATGAAATATCAAAGACTTTCAAGTATGCTTAAATCCCAGAGTAGTTAAATCCTTTACTGAGAGCAGTTTTTTAATTAATGGTGTCTCAGAAACCTCTTTGTGAAGGAATCTGAATAGCTGTTTGGCCCAAGTCCAGTTTAAGATCCCTAAGGAGGGAGACCAGGAGCCTTGAAGTTACCGGTACGTACCAACAGTTAGTACCTGGTTAGCTGACTTACTAGGCACATGACACCTGGTTACAGACTTCCGCACTATGTATGTATTGTATTTCCATGTAAAAATAAGAATAATTTTAAAATATGCATTTATACATATAGAATAGCATATGGAAGCAAATCCATTACTTCTTTTTTATCAGTGAATTTACTATGGGGGGGAGGGTATTAATGTTCACCCAGTTTTTTATGTTCACCCTGTTTTTCATTGGATTTCTGTAGCAGGATAAGGCACAATTCATTAAGAGTAAAACTGTAAATTAGAAGGAACCATACACTATAAGCGTGTTAACATAAGCACATAAAAAGAACGTGCTGGACCAAGCCAGCATTCTAGTACAGCATTCTGTTCTCCCAGAGGCCAACCAAACTGTATGAAATAGTCAGCCCAGCAGCTGGGATATAATAAAGACAAAAAGAAACTTTAGGAGAACAAGGCCAGAGGATTTTTCAGTCAGAGTCCTTTCTGATGCCTCAAAAATTGACCTGGACATTTTCTTTCTCAATGGGTTAATGAACCTGGGGGAAGCAGCTGGTTTTATACAATGGTGTAATGTGTCCTTGCTACAAAAAAAGCAACAGAAAAGTTATCTGCAAGCTTAATTCTCACAAGGCTTCAATGTAGTACTTTGTTCTTAGTGATACATTCCTAGGGGCTTATGGCTGCTGGGTATGGTCTGAAGGCACAGGAGAGCACCATCTTGCTAAGTAGGTCAGAGTCTGGGGCAGTGCCTGAATGGTGACAACCTAGGAACCAGATGTATGCTTCCTTTGGTTCCATGATGGAAGAAAGATGGGATATAAACATAAGAAAATGCATGGGGACAAATGGTGAATCATAATAACTGGACAGGCACTGGAACTGACAGGTGGCAGCAGATTAAAAACAAACCATAACAACAACAACAACAACAACAACAACAATAATAATAAATAAAAACAACAACAACAACAACAACAACAACAACATCCCATGAACTTTATTGGCTCAGGTGGCCATTTTTATCACAACTAGTATAAACATTTTTGAAAATTGAGTTGATGGAAGATACAGTTGGTACCCAGAGATGGACCAAATGCCAAAAGTGCATCTCCAGTTTGATCATTCTCATTAAAAAAAAAATGTTGACCATTGATCTGGCCCAGCATAATAATAATAATAATAATAATAATAATAATAATAATTTATTTATATCCCGCCCTCCCCAGCCGAAGCCGAGCTCAGAGTGGCTAACAACAATAAAAGTAACACAGTTTACATGTTAGTTCTTATGGATTATTTCCAAAGTTAGTCAGACATTTCAATAGGTCAGCTCTGAGTAGAACTTATTTGGATACCACCCTATGTCTACAATGGCAGAATTATATGAAACTCTGATCCAGATTTAACAATATTCAGTACATTAGGATCCATGGGGCGGGGGGGGAATCCTGGTATAGCAGAGAAACTGGCCTTAGATGAAGTGCATCTTCTGAGGCCAATTCAGTCCATCTTATGATTGTTTAAATTATGAATGGGAGAGAGAGCTGAGACATGTGCACTTTGTACATCCATACATTGGGAGCACATGCCTATAGTGACTCTGTATTTATGTAGTGCACACACAAATGTTAGGAACAAAGTCTGGCTGTCACAGTTAGCATTCAGCAGTTCAATATGCTCAGTTTTAACAAATCAGGTATAAACCTTCCAGCTTTATCTTGAGAGAAACGCACTGTTGAAAAAATATGTTTGACCAATGATCTGTAATTGGTGCTTACTAGCATTCATTGTTTGGGGATTTTGCATGTGTTTATAAAATTTTCATGTTGTTGATCTTTTATTAATAGTATTATATAAGATTTGTATATTTACAAAAAATAATAATCAGATTTGTACTAAGGCTCTTCACAAGATTATAATATATGAAGGCACTCTCAGATAGGATATTTTATACAAGCACAACACATCTCCCTTAGCCTGCTGCCTTTTCTCATCTTCTTTGTACGGTACAAATTTGGACTGCCTTTTGCGGAGGTGGCCATTTTAGCTCCATAGCAAGAAAACAGCGCAGTTTAACCCTGGCTTTAAAAACATGGATCTGTTGTGACAGCTATAAAAACACATGGTAGAGAGAGCCTTGAGATGATGTGAGAAGAGTTCTATTTTATATACATCAGAGCACAGGGCAGGCTGAGACTAGAAAAGCTCTCCTCTGTTGTGAGAGAACCAGCAAGTTGCTTTCCAATTGTTCCCATAGGCATTTTTATATCTCAGCTGATCCTTAATGTATCTTGCCAGGCCCTGCGAATTAAATACACCCAGCTTATTTTATTCAGATCAGTGCACTTCAAAGCCATATCTCTCTCAGTAGAGGAAGGCTCTGCTCTATTAATGCCAGTCATGATGCCATATAGTCTCCTGTCATTTAGTGGGAGACTAGACTTTTGCAAACACAGATAACATCATGTACCATCAGGCCTAGGGCTGGGGGAGAAATTTGATTCAATTTGCATTTAAAAGTGAATCCACCTAATTAGCACTTTCCAAAACAATACGAGAAATGAAACACAGCCAGCCTTTGAAATCTGTACTTTTCTTTGCAAAAAAATGTGTATATTGGGGAAAATTTCATACAAACGTGTATATTAGAAGTGTACACTAAAATGCTGGTGCATTTCCACAAGAACCATTTTATAAAAAACAAACAAACCACTAATGTTGAGAAACTGAATTTAAGGCAGGAAAAATGAGAAGCTGAGAGAAGCCGAGACTGATAGATTTGCCCATTTCTCATTAGATCCCAGAACTAGACTACAGAAAAGTGGGGGAGAGAAATAGACAAACAAAAGAACCCCATTATTTTCAGGGCTTCAAAAAGAAAAGAGCCAGACCACTCTCTTGGCATTATTCAGTAAATCTGTAGTTTTTATTTTCCATCTCTGCCCTTAGTTTGCACTGACGTCACCTGCCTTCATTTGAATCTTTGATAGAGGAGGAATGCCTGTGACATTTATGCTCAGACTTAATCTTAATGATGGCGGAGGTGTTTGCGTCAAGAATGTGCAAAGGCAGGCTTTCATTTGAAAGGCCTTTACTGCAGGGGAAGGGGGAAATAAGTAATATGTTGCACAGGAAGACTTTGAAGATGGAGATGGCTTCGGTAATTTCCAAGGATTAGCACTGGATTTATTTCCCCAGCATTGCAGGCTTTTGCTGAGCTGCCTCTGGCTCCCCTGATAAGCAGGCATCACAAAAGGCCTTTGCAGCCCATGGAGTTGCCATGATAAGACTCTGCCATGGTCAGGCGACAAGCCATGTGATTGTTCCCATTGCCAGAAAGAATAGCATTGTGAAATTCAAAATTATAAATCACAGTTTTAATATCCAAAGGGTCTCTTTTTCAAACAAAGGGACATGATGTGCAATGCCAGCGCTGACAATCCTTTCCTGTTTCAAGGTTGGGCTTTTGATGCCCCTTGCGACATCTCTAGAGTGATTCGTAAACTATCAAGCTGTCATAGAAATATCATGGACAACTATGTATAGTCTCAGGGCTAGGGCTGCCCAACTGCTCCCAGAAACATGTTGGACTCCATCAACATTGTGCTTTTGTGGCCTGCCTGGCATTACGCTGTACTGTTTTTAACACTTGATTGGGAGCCGCCCAGAGTGGCTGGGGAAACTCAGCCAGATGGGTGGGGTATAAATAAATTATTATTATTATTATTATTAAAACAGGGGTTGCCTTGTGTAGTTTTTCATGAATTGGTTATGGATAGGGATCCAATCAAATGAGCTGTGTTTTACTGTGGGTTTTTTGTGGGGTTTTTACAGGTAAAACTATCTTGAGGAAATCAAGTGTCTTCCTCCCCACTGTACAACTGGTGACAGAACATCGCTTCCAACAAGGCAGCAAGAACCCCAAAGGCTCTTTAGACTCTTCCACTGTGTTGTTTTGTCTTACCTGGGTATTCGGGAAACAGCTACAATGAATTTCCTGCGAAGGCGCCTCTCAGATAGTAGTTTTGTGGCCAACTTGCCAAATGGTTACATGATGGACCTTCAGCGTCCCGATAATTCCACCAGCAATCCTGTTTCCCCAGCAACAGAGAGGAGGCAGCAGCCTGTACAGCAACCTGCTTCTGTTTCTTCTGGTACCAGCATCTTTAGTTCCATCTCCAGTGCCATGAAGCAGACCACACAAGCAGCTGCGGGGCTCATGGAGCACACAGCAAGCCCTACCCCTGTAGTCCAGCAGAAACCCCAAATCCTCTTGGTAATTGACGATCCGCACACTGATTGGTAAGTACCCATACTTTCTTACAGAGGTAGACAACACAATGAATTCCAGATATTTGTTAGACTACAACTTCCATCATCCATGAGCACTGGCCATGGTGGCTGGAGCTGATGAGATTTGGGTTTTATTACTGTCAGGTGGTATATAAATGTTGTTAAATAAAATAGGATTGATTTCCCTTCTTTTTCTGTAACGGGGGTGGGGTCCAATACCACCTGCTGTTTTCTGTACTAACCTGCTTCTGTCTGAATTTTATGCCTTCTGTAATGGCAACAGAGGAACGCTAGATGTCAGAATCTCATCACTGCTTCTCCTGAGGAACTCCAGATAGAGCTGTACAATTCATGTATTATAGAAATATGACACTATAGTGTTCAGGATTCTGACTGGGGTTGGCAATGGTTGGAAGTAATTAGAGTACAGGGTGTATTTAGTGATTCAGTATTGCAAATTAAAACCTAAACTCACTTTTTCTCTCTTTATGGACCTCCGTGCCTGTTGCCACCCATGCAGATCTAGTTCCACAGTCTTCATCAGCCACAAGCAAGAAGCCATTGGCATTCCTGCTTGTGACTTTTAGTCCTGGAGGAAACTAAAGAATGGAATGCCCCCCATCTCTGGCTCCACTGTTTTTTCTAGAGTAAACATTTCATTCACAGCTTTTCTTCATGGTTGATAGTCTTCCCAGAACATGCAAACATTCACATATTTCAATAGCTTGTTGCATCCAGACCAGAAGTTTTTTCAACCTGTATCTGACAGCACAGAAAGAGTGATGTCAGAACCACATGTCTGGACCTGTCAATGTTCAGAGTTCCACTTCCTGGGGACACCCCCCCAAAAAAGCTTTATTTAAATAACAAGATATAAAGAGCCTTGGCTCCAGATATGGATATGCTGCAAAGGGCTTTATTCCAAAAGTTGTGCACATGTACCTGGTTCTGCCTGTGCACCAGTCAAATGCTCAGCTTTTAATAATCTAGGGTACAGTTCATTCCCCCCCCCCAAGAGGGATACACCAGGCAATCAAAGCTAGTCAAGATCGAAGTGACAACCATGAAACTGAATCTATGCATCCAGGGCCCAGTCCTTCAACAGGAGCTACACATGCATCTCCAGGGGTCATTATGATGACCGAGTCTTGTGTAGTATATTCACAACAACCTGCTAGCCATGTGGTTGGTTCAGAAATGAATCAGCAGGAAGCATGAGCAGATGAGCTTCTTTGCACATGTAAGTCATATGCTCAAACTTTTATCGGGTCAGAACATCTGTGATTGGACTGGAGGACAATAGTCTTGAACTGTACAACTTTCCAGCCATTTCCCCATGCTTCTTTTGTATAATCAACGGAGCTGGAAGGCTCATCTAGTCCAACCCCCTGCTGAAGCCTACTACTTATAGCATCCAATACTACTGCAACATCCCCATCATCAGAGCATTTAAATGCATCCTCAATATGTGTGCCATTGCACCCCTTTTCTCAGCCATATAACAACAAACTAGATTTCAGGCTTTTTTGTAATCCCATGCAACTAATTGCAAATGCCAGGAGATTTCACAACTACCCCTGGGTGCACATGTGTCCTCGGAAGTGATGTGATTGGTGCTTTAGTTCCAAGGCAGTTTGTGCTAGGTGCCTGGTTGGAAATAGATTTGTGGCAGGGAGCTTGTGGCACTCCTTAAATAAAGAATAACCTAATTTTAGGAGCTCTGTGGAGTGCTTGGCTCAGGAAGAGGGATGCACCATGTGCCAGAAAGATGGGGACTTGGCTTGTGTGTATGTGTGTGCTTCTGCTTGTTTAGGTAGAATTTTGGGGAAGATCCTTTTCTGCTTGTGACAGAAAGAAGAGGATGTTTGTTCATAATGTAGTGCGTACAGTCCGAGTGCACTTTTGGGTGACAGGTGGGGCAGCCTAGCCAGATTGTTCATTTAGTCTTCTCTTCCTGCTTGTCAAAACAAAGTAGTTTAACTACCTAGAAGGCTGGTGTATCTAGCTGATACTGCAGAAAATTCCTTGCTTTTCTCCCTCGGGGATGTGCATTTTTGAAAACTGTTTAACTTCCCAAGGACACCTGTGGAAATGCAGAGTCCACAAACATGGGAAAGGATTGGCTGGTGGGTGGAGAGAAGACTATAGCAGTGTATTTATTCACAGTATGAGGACATGAGGAAACGGAGTGGCAGAACTCCATGTTACTGTAAGCCAGCCAAATCTGAACACATGACCTCATCCAGGAGGAAAACGTCCCACCTCTGGCAACTTCCTTGCCCAAATCACTTCTAAGTAAAATCATGCTCTTGCTGGAGTGAATTTCTCAAATACAAAGTAGGGCTATATATTGTTAACCCTTTCAGCAGCAATAAAAGGCTGTGCTCCTTCAGTTTTGGGAGAGAGAGAGAGAGAGAGAGAGAGAGAGAGAGAGAGCTGTCTCTATTGATATCACATTTTCAGACACAACATATTACAGAAAATAAATATTTTGCATGCATTGATCAGTTACTCCACCAATCTTCAAAACAAAAGCAGTGTTTTGTCTAAATGATGTTCAGATTATTCCACAGTTACCAGCTGACTTGCTTAATATTCCTCCACAACATAATCGTTTTCAAATCAAAAGGTTAAAATAAGTGGGACTAAAAAGTGCTTAACTTTGGCTGGATCATTCCCTCAGTTTATATTTTATAATGTGGTTCCAGTGTGAGGTGCAACAATACTTTCTGCATGGTGGCCTGGTTTTCATGGAACACTAAATCAAACTATAGTTTTGCATGAATGAGCAAGTGTGTTGGTATACAGTGAAAAATCACAGCTGCTTCACTGTTCCCCAACTCCTGATGGTGCCATGCTATCAGAAGGTAAGCCACCTTGGGCAAAACATTTGAAATCTCCCTTAAGTTACTTTTAATAGTTAAAATCAGAAAATAGAAACACTGAAATAAGTATTGCAAAATTCCTGTGGGTAAGGTAGGGGTGTTTATGCATCCTTAGGTTGCCTCTGAATTCCAGTGAAACCAAAATTCAAGGCAAATTTGGAGATTCTTGCTTAGGTGTAACACCTAAAAAAGAATTTCAAATAAAGGGGCTGGGTGGGAAGGAGAGAGGATCTTCAAGCCCTATTGTGATGAAGAATACAAATGCCGCCGCCCCTCATTAGTTTTGGAAGATTGCTAAAGGGTTAACAGCTACACATCCCACATATCCACATTTTGATTGTTTTAAACAGAGGAGAGAGAAAACATGCAAACAAAATACATTTCCTTCCCATAATAGTTACGTGCAAATTAGACTGCGCAGAGATGCAAAAAGATCATGCAACGCTAGGAAATTGAAGAATAATATGGCAGGTGAAATTTACTAATTGTACACTAATATCTGTGATACATGTTGGGGGAATCCTGAGTTATACCACATTATTACATGATGCCTTGGAATCCTTGTAAATACTTAATGTATACCAGTGTTCTGACCCACAAGATTCCAGCAGCAGCAACTCTTTCTGGACCTCCTTTGAAATAGTCAACAGGATGACTTGGTTCTCTTGCCATTTTTCATACATAGTGGATTTGAGCTTCTTTTATACTATTAGCATCACTTACAAATAATGTTAACATGGGGGAGAATTCAGAAGTGAAATTCAATGTATGCTGTGGCTGGCCAGGTTTTATAAGCACGTCAGGAGCAGATTTAAAATAAAGCCAATTTAAGCCCCATGTGTGAAATGCCCTTAGTAGCTCATGCTCCCTTATTACAACATAAATAAAAACAAACTGGCTGCAATCCTGCACAGAGTGAGCTGTATGCAGGATTACAGCAAATGACAGCTGCACAGGGGGGTTGGGTATGAATGAAAACCCTGGACGTCATCCAATTGTGGCAGAGAGTTCAGGTAAGGCTGTCAAAGCGACATGATAAATAACACTTCTCACATAACTGTGTAGTGTTTCACAGGTCTGCTGCTGCCACTTGTATTTATATTTTTGTAGTGTATACTTAAAGCACCTTGGGGATCCAGTCCTCCTGGCAGAAAGGTGACCAAGAAATTTGAAGGATTAGCATTGATGCAAAAATAGACATAAGGGGTCTGGAAAATATTCCCTCCTAGGTTATAAATACAGTCATGCGAGTCAAATTTGGTAGCCTTAATTACTTTAGCAGAGTCTCCTTAAATGTACTGTGTTTAACCCTATAGATTCTTGTTTGGAATGGCCCAGTGACATACTTTCCAACTTTTGACAGATGAAAATAGATACACTCATTTTACACTAAGCAAGCAATTGGGGTTTTTTTATTTCGTACATTAATATTCCTTATGTATATCATGGAACCCAAGTCAGTGTACTGTACATGGGGTTTGCAGGTGGTCTCCTTTCCAAGCACTGACCAGTTCCAGACCCATTTAGGTTCAGCGAAGGGGCTTTATCTTGTGCCTTCAGCAGACAATGCCTAGATTCATAGTGTATTATTAAGCAAAGTGGCAGATGTTCTGCCCCAAGAATTCTAAAATACTATCTTCGAAAACAGAATTGGATCCAGACGTAGGCATGTTCACAGTAAGCCCACTGACATGTGCCACTGATATTGCTGGGTCTACTCTAAATCTGAGTTTCTTACAGTCTTACAACCCATTTAAATGTTGATACTACAAATCAGCTCATTTGTTATTCTATCATACAACAAATCTTACTTCCTAAATCCAAAAACGAACATTTGCAAAACACACCACAAAGTAGCAAAATTGTAAGAACAATACCAAATAAAGACATGAGTATTAAATCGAGCAAATAGGTCCCTGGGGGTAGATGTGGAGTTGGTTTCCATTAGTTATAAATTTAGTATGCTTCAACTTTTACACAGCTGGTGTGATCAGGAATTCGAGTTTAACACCATTATGTTTTTAAATATCTTTAGGACATATATTCAGGAGCACTTAAATATGGATTAGTTGTACATTAACTCTTCTAACCACAATGGCAGCCTTGTTCAGAGAATCCATCTCCATGTAGTTAACATCACATGACTTGATAGCAGGGCTGTGCTCAACATGCCCCACACCACAATATGGTGCTATTGCACTCAGGTCCCGCATGCAGGTTTCCCATTAGGGCAGGGGTGGGAAACCTCAGGCCCAGGGGCCAAATGTGAACCCCAGACCTTTCTTTCTACTCCTTGGCACTCGTGCCAATTCACACCCCTCATTGCCCCAATTTGTATCCCAAATGGAGGTTTTTTCCTGGCTGGAGTGGTTGCCTAGCTGGAGGACCAAGATGGATGGATGGGTGTGTGTGTGTGTGTGTGTGTGTGTGTGTGTGTGTGTGTGTGTGTGTTGAAACCAACCTGCTGTAGAAAGGTGAATTGAACCTTCACTGTACTGTTTTTGGTGCCTGCTAAAAACATTTTTGTTTAACAAGCCTATCCAGACATGTAAAGCGGATATGTATTTTGACTTGCAATTTTATTTTATAATGTGTATTTTAACTGCAGATTTCATTTATGTATTTATTTATATGAATAACAAAAAAAATCAAATTTTAGTGTATAGTTTCTCCCCCTTACACATTCCTGCAACTAAGCAGTTATACAAATTCTGATATATGAACAAATAAAATGTCCTCATGGAAGTGGCAGAGATTAGGAATGAGCATAGGGAGGGTAAATTTAACATATAAGCAGGACCAGGAGTGCATTCTCTTCCAACTACGAGAGTGATGGCTGGTGTTTGCTCCAGACTCTTTGCCTGTTGTTTAAAAGACCAAGGTGGTATCCTGGGTGTATATGCCTGTTTGTGAGAGATGGGAAGCATAAAATGATGTCAAAATGAAACCAAACACTTAAGATAAAACATTATTGAGAAGATCAATTGCCTATGGTTCTGCCTTTCTCTTGAACCACCAGAAAGGTATAGTTATAGAAGCCAAAATGGCGTTGGCCTGCTTCTGACAGGCCAGAAATGTGACAATGGTTCATAGGTGACTGGAGAAAAGTCTGTGATTACTTAAAGCAAGGAGAGCCAATGTTGTGCCCTTCAGGTGTTGTTAGACTCCCGTCATCCCTGACCATTTGGGAATGCTGGCTTGGACTGCACTGTGCTGACTACCCTGATTAACACCTGTTGACTGCACCAACCATCTGGAAGACACCATGTTGGGTACCACAGGCTTAAAGGAAGGCTGGCTCAAAGGAAGGCTGAATATCTCATAATTAAGTGTTTGCAGTTGCAGATGGCATAGCTCCAGGAAATGAGCTGCTTTAGCTGTGGCAGTGCACAGCATTCTGTGCACCCTTTACAACTAAAGTGGATTTATAGGACTGAACACCTGCTAAAATGGTTCGTGGATGTCAGCCATAATGAGAAAACAGGTACAGTTGTAGAGGAAACACGGCAAGGTTTGCTGGGACCCGTGAGTGAACCTGGGCTGACCGTCAGGAAACATGGCCTGATTTATGGATCTCATGTGGCTTTCAAGTTAACCTGTTCCCAAAGTTCATATGGATGGTTTCCATTGAAAACAAGCCTGTAATAAGCATTTCCATGCTGTTGCAACAAACGGATACCCTCTTGCGTGTATCTCTGGCATGCTGTCTGGCCTTAGTAACAGGGGACAGGCCAACAATGCACTAATTTGAATAATGTGTAAAGCAAAATTGTTGCTGCATGTTATACAAAAGCCCTTAAGGAGCATCTGGGAGAGTGGCAGCCAACATTTTGTGGCTGGAAGGAATATGGCTCTGCAGAAGGGTGGAGGGGGGGGGGGAGCAGGGTGGGTAGACCCAAGAGGTCAGGCCCTGGAAAAATACAGAGGAAAAAGATCAATTGTAATACTAGTTTATTTACTGATATGCTTCCTCTTCAGGAATCATTATTATCTTTGGCGGTCCCTCTTGAAACAGGATAGATAACTACAAACATGTTTCCCCTCCACAGAAAGAATTCTTACAGCCGAAAACAATCAGCCCCAAGCACAGATATTGTAAATGCATGCTGCCTTTTTTATGCCCATCCATTTACAGAGAATCAATTTCAAAAAATCACTTTGTGATTGCAAAATATGACATGGACTTACTCGTGCTTAGAGACCCATTGAAATAACAGCTAACTTAAGTCCCAGCTAACTACATGTCCACAGGACCCCTGTAAGCCTGACTGCAGTCCTAACCTCACATATCTGGAAGTTAGCCCCATTGAATTCTATGTAGGGATGTGGGGGAATCGATTCAGTTTGCAAATAACATACAGCAATGGATTAGATTAGGAGGAAAGATTTGCAAAAATAGGTTTATTAGGTTTATTAGTCAAAACTGCATACAAAATACATTTTACTAGGAGAAAGTTGCATTTTCATGAGGATTGTTTTTTAGTCAACTTTTTGCAGAAAGGTGAATTTCTGAATTTAAGATTGAGACAATGAGAAACTTGGAGAACAGATACTGACAGATTTGATGCAGGTGGCGCTGTGTTCTAAACCACTTAGCCTCTTGGCCTTGCTGATCAGAAGGTCGGCGGTTTGAATCCCCGCGACGGGGTGAGCTCCCATTGCTTAGTCCCAGCTCCTGCCAACCTAGCAGTTCAAAAGCACGCCAGAAAGTGCAAGTAGATAAATAGGTACCGCTCTGGCAGGAAGGTAAACGGCGTTTCCGTGTGCTGCTCTGATTTTGGTGTTCCGTTGCGCCAGAAACGGCTTAGTCATGCTGGTCACATGACCCGGAAAAACTGTCTGTGGACAAACGCCGGCTCCCTTGGCCTGTAAAGCGAGATGAGCGCTGCAACTCCAAAGTCGTCTGCAACTGGACTTAACTCTCAGGGGTCCTTCACCACCTTCTTCTTCCTCTTCTTCTTTTTACTTCTGAATAGACATTATTTAGGATTGTACTTTAGTCTGGACCCACCACTATGTCTGAACTGGCTCCAAAGTTGAGGCTCACATTTTAAAACATCAAGGGAAAAAACAGCAGCACAAAAAAGCAATCAAAAGCATCATTTATATCTATTTAACACACTCTCTCTCTCGTTTTCTCCATAGGTCTAAATATTTTCAAGGGAAGAAGGTGAATGGGGAATTTGAAATCCGAGTGGAACAGGTTAGTGGACAACAAAAATCTGTCAAAAATTGGCTCAGGCTCGCAGCTCAGTACTTGTTTTGCAGGTGCCTGAGCATTTCAGCTAGGAGGCAGTTGAAATTAAGGAAGCATTTTGAGCTGGCTTACATCAGATTTAATTTGGTTTTCTGTTATGGTAGTTTATTCATCAAGGCCTGGAGTGTTTTTCCAGGTGCTTGCTGAATCACGCTGCAGATTTTCATACTTTGCTTGCTATAGGTGAAAACATGGCCTTTCTGAGGGGAAAAGGCTGCTGCTGTTTAAGTTTTTTTTAAAAAAGCAAAAATAGTAGAATATTTTAGAAGAAAACGTCTGAACAATTTAACACTTCTGCAAACAACATCACTTCCCACCTGTTTTCTTGTCAGACTGCATTAAGTATGGATGCAAGTATGCAAAGGTGCATCCACAGACACCTTCTCAAGACACCCCATAACAATTCTGAAATGTATTAACATGTTTGCCTTCTTAATTCTTATAACATCTCAGTTCCCCCTTGGCGCATTCTAATTTTCTATTATGGCCTGCTTTGTGCGGAAGGCACAGAAGGACGAATAGTGTTTCCCCCCTGCAAGTTATTGGCTTTGGAAAAGAAGGCCTTCAGCACTGGTTCTTCTTTTCCATCACCTTCTGTATAAGCTCTCACACCACACACACACCATGGCTAGCTTTTGATCTGTTGCTTCTGCTTCTTTCCTGACACGCCAGATTTCACACTTGGCGTGAAAAAAGGTCAGGCTTTCTTTTGGGTTATCTGCTTGGAAAATATACAATTTCTTCCTGGCTCCTTTTTTTATCTCCTAAACTCCCAGCAGTTTTCCAAATGGTATAAACCATTCGCCACCACACTTTAGTAGACCTTGTTTATTTGCAGGTTGCAACACAACAGCACATAACTTGAGGACTGTGTCATTCCCCTATCACTATGTGACCCTCTGCATCCCCCACTCCCAAATCTTCCCATTTCCTTGATTTCTTGGAAAGGTTTCTAGGCAAGTAGGCATGAGCCCGATTCCCCTAATTTACAAATCAGCTGGTGCTTTCAGTACAGAGAAACCAGATGTGTGTAAGTATGGTTTTGTGATTTTAGTGCCAGTCATCATCTGTGTGCCTCGGAGGAGGCAGAGTCCAATAGATCCTCCAAATGTTGTTGGGCTTCAGCTTCCATCAGCACTAGCCAGTACAACCAATGGTAAAGGATTATGGGAGTTGTAGTCCACCAACATCTGCAACACCACTGATTCCTCATCTCTGATTCAGATCAAACACTTGGATAAAAATATAATAAACAACAATTGCTTCAGCCCAGTTCCCTCACCTGCTTACATTCTCACCAATAGCAAATAACAATGTAAAGACACTTTCCTGACTAAATCTACTTGAATGTCCCAAATAGGCATTTAAGTCCAAGTCAGATGATGTCCTCTTGGGATTTGGTCCTGACCACTCTTAAATACACCTTTATTTACAATTACAGTAATCCTAACCCAGGGTTATAAATCATGTTTCATTAATGTTGTACCATAAACAGTTTACATTTGCCAAACAAATCACTACTAATTAAATATGCTGCTACCTGGTAGAAATCTTGTTAAGACAAACATTCTGTTTGAAAGTGAAATCCAGGAATAGGCCAGTTTTATTTCATGTGTTTTCTGCTGTTATCAAATAATCTCATTTATTTTTATTTTTCCACTCTAGGCAGAGTTTTCAGAACTGAACTTGGCTTCATATGTAGGCACTGGCTGTATGGTGGACATGCAAGTCATACGGAATGGCACCAAAGTGGTCAGGTGATTGAAATTAACTTTCCCCCCCTTAAAATTAATCTCAATCTTGTTGCTGTTTTGAAAAACCAATCTGGGTGGGATTCACCTAATAAACCACATCAGTGGAAGCCCTGCACAAGGACCTGTGCTTGTGCAACAGAGCTTCCCCAGTCCCTCTGCACACCTTCCATGACCCATGGAGCATTTATAATAGTCCAACACTGAATTCCACCCTCTGTGTTTCTTCCTACTATCTGGGATGGATAATTATGAGCAACCTGTTATGGGCTGACCAGCCTGATGGAATGTGAAGTTTATTCAAAGTCAGGACTGCAGGAAAGCAAGGGCTGATTTGGTTTGTGTATTTGTTAATTGATGAAAGGGATTCTTTTGGAAGCAGTTTTTCATAGTAATCTGGATCTTGGAAAAGCGGAGCAGTGTTACTTTGGAGTGTGTCCATATTGCTAGAAATTCTATCCACAAATATCCAAAATGCATTGCCATCTTACCTTAGCCCACCCCATTCTTATTCCCTGGGTCAAAAAAATGTAGAAGTACATTTGTATGTATAAACTTATAAAATGTATAAGTGGATTGTCCCTTGCATTTTATGGCCATTCCTTTTGTGAACCAGTATTTTAAAAGGATTCTTGCAAAATGTAACCACTTCAACGCTATATGATCTCAAGTGCCTGCTTTAAGAAAGCATGTGTTTCAGTTGTGGATCACATGCAAAAGTCTCAGGTTCAAACCCTGATATTTCCAGGTAGGGCTTTTGCACCTCTCTGAAACCATGACTGCCAGGCCAGTCACTGTAAGCAGTACTGAGCAAGATTGACTGCTGGTCCAACTTGGTATCAAGTTTCAGTCTCTGTGATTCTAGCAGGATAACAATTAAGTTTTATTTATTTTTATACAACACAAAATGCAAATACAAGCATCTCTATGTGAGCAAACTCCCTGGGAATGTGCAGGGGAAGAAGAGGCTGTGGGTGTTGATGGGGAGTTGGGACCATGAATGATGTTCACAAGACACAATTCTATTCAAATTACAGGAGTCTACACCACAATTTTGATTAGCATGAAAGCAATTTCCTCAGGGTTGTGCCTGCTTTTCACAGGCATGCATTGTAATGCAACCAGAATGGGAAAAACATAGCAAAGGAAAAGTACATATGGATGGATTTTTGTGTTACAGTACATCCAGGGACACAGAGCAACTATTCTTTTTCTGAGACACAAAAACTTATTGATGTCTGGGTGTGCACAGCAATGGTAGCTGCTGAACTCATTTAATTTTTTTCAGTCTGTTCATTTTGGATACAGTTGTCTTTTTTCTTGTCTGAATTCCTAGACCCTTAGCTGAGAGGGGGGTGGGTTAGAATTTGTACTTAGAATTTGTACTCAACTCATCCTTTACATTTCTTCTTCTTCTTCTTCCTCCTCCTCTTCTTCTTCTTCTTCTTCTTCTTCTTCTTCTTCTTCTTCTTCTTCTTCTCCTCCTCCTCCTCCTCCTCCTCCTCCTCCTCACCCTCCTCCTCCTCCTCTTCCTCTTCCTCTTCCTCTTCTTAAAATTTGTATACCACCTTTCATCCGTAGATCTCAGGGTGCCTCATAACATAAAAATACAAGATAAAAACACAAAATTCATAATAAAAACAAGAACAAAAAACCCACAAACCAATAACCTCCCACTTCACATCTCCTTGTGCCCTCTGGGGTTATTTTATTTTCTCTGTCCTGAACAAGTGATAAACCTCCTCACAGCAATTACAAGGGGCTGTATACAACTTTCTCTGTCTGACAGCACATGGGTATGTGTGATGTGTTTGTTGTGGAGCGTAGCAGCCCAGTCCAGAATCCAAAATTTAACCCAGTTCAGACCCATCGGACTCACTGAGGTAGGAAAAGTTGAACTCCAATTACTTCACCTTAGTAGTGTTGTGGATCTGGCTGTTAATGAGCACGTAGGTGTGCTCAGGATGACATTCTTGCATATGTGGCCCAAGGCATGTGTTTTGACATATATCTGCTCTGACATACTGCTGCAAACACTCAGCATTTGTTCAACACATGTGCCAGTTTGGCCCTTGGGAAACGCAGCACGACCGTCTTGTGTTACCACCCTTGGAGTAATTTAGAAGATACTGGGTGGGGGAGTGAAAAGAGATTCACACGCTTTTCAGTGTCAGCATGAAAGCATGCTTTTAATGGGTCTGTTGGAAAAGATCCCTAATTTATCCTCCTCTATAACTTCATTCAGAAAAAAAAGAAAGCATTCCCATAGCCTTCAAATTAATCTGTGTGGAGGCAGGAAACAGATTTCCGTCCAGTGTTCCAGACTGAACTCCTACCTCTCATTGTCCAGAGACCTAGGCAAGTCAAGAGCAGGCAGGCATCTATCATACCTTACATAATATTCATCGTAACATATAACTCTCTTGGGGGCCCCAAAAAAATTTAAAGGGGAAAAAAACTGGATGTACATTTCCAAAATATAAGCTAAAAAACAAATAAAATAAAATAAACAAATAAAATAAAACCTACATACAGCAACAGTGTTTTGTGTTGTGTATGCTCCTATGATGTAAGTAATGGGCCCTGCCTGCTAGCCCGCTCCCTAAAATATCACTAGTTTGCTTATTTGCTCATAAATTACCATATAGCATATATTCAACACAAAAAAGAGTTGTTGTTGACAATGGACAGCTGAACATATAAAGGGCCCCATTACCTTCAGTAGCTTAGGGCCTCATCAAACCTAAATCCGGCTCTGAGTATGAGGATTTGATAAAGTTCTGTTGGTGATCTCTTGGTTAATTTATTCCTTGCACTACAGTGAGTTAACCTGTGTTTATAGATTAGCAGCTGACTTCCGTACCATTTTAGCTAAATCTCTGCTGCGGTGGGGACCATTTAGTATAATGCATTTAGTATGATAAAGCCCAGATATACCAGAATGGCTATTCCACAATGATTGATCTAGAGAACCACCTATGGGGCTCTATAGTCTTTTTCAATCAGGGTACAGATAATGGGAACCAAGATACAGATCAAACACAAGAGTAGTAGTCACTGTATATCAATATATCTTAGTGGTAGCTTAGTGTAGAAGGTCCCAGGTTCAATCCTTGGCATCTCCAGGTAGGGTTGGGATAGACCTCCACCTGAAACCTTGAGAACTACTGTCCATCAGTGTAAATAATGCTGAGCAAGATGGACCAGTGGCCTGGCTTGGTATAAAGAACCAAGTTTTCCTTCCTGATCAAGAGGAGATAACAAAAGCTGAGAGGGCAATGAGTCAAGCCCTGGAGAAGAGCAAATCCCCTAAAGGGATTGTTAGTGCCAGGAGGGAGTGGTTTAATGCTGTGGTCTCTGTTTGTATTTCAATGCTTTTGTATAAATGCATTCATTCTTACCATGGTGGTTGGCTAAAATTCCCCTGTCAGAACTATGGAGAGGTCAAGGGTTGTTCTGTTTCCTTGGTATAAATCTATTCATCCTTTAATTAAAAGTGACTTTCCTATCGATTCTGGTTGGCCAGTCCTAGTGTGTAATGTTGACACAGTTGTGACCTGTTGCACAGGAATTCCAGATTGTCTGTGGCCTGAATATACACGGCCTTATGACAACTTCATGATGTTTAAAAAAATTATTTATTGCCAGGCTTGCTACCACACCTTCCTGCCAAGAAAATGTACTCATGGCAGCTCACAAGATTATTAGAATGATAAGACAAGCAAATGCAACAGTAATACATAAATAGTGGTAGTTAAAACAATTCTTGAAACAGTCCACATTAATAAAATACACGGAATAAAACTGTATTCACTGCCTTCTCTTACTTGGCATGCTGGGGAAACCTGCTATATTAAAGGAAGTTACCTTCCTTTTTCATGTGTCTATATTTCCAACAGGGTTGTGTATAAAAACAGAAAACAAATCCACATTTTGCACCGTGTTAGCCCAGATTGTATTACTCTGTACTGAAACACACTATAGAGCTTTTGCGATGGAAGTGACTGAAAAAGAGAGGGGAGGAGCAGAAGACATTCTCTGGCTGCCATTGGCTGAACTGCTGATAATATCCTAGGAGGAGCAGAGCAAATTGGAGCCATAAGGAAGGAGGGGTGGTGCGTGGGAAGGGAGAGAAGCAAGAGCCTAGGGTGGGCATAAGACAGAATAGGATCTACTTGTAGATCTTTGAGTGATTTAAAGTTGATCAGCAAGGATTTTGCATTCCCATTTAACACAATTGCCCCCAGTTATATTGCTGAAATCAAGAAGGTATCCTTTTGATTGCACGTTCATTGTGATTTGTGCTCATGATGGAGCAGACATACGCAGTCCCGCTCTCAATACTTTTTGTTCCTGCAAAAGTTTTAAGGCACTCACAGTTCTTGAATTCCAATTAGCGCACATCCTGTGACTTCCTGCGGAAATTCTGTAACAAATATTCCAGTTTATTTTTGTCACATTTTGTTGCATTATATGTCCCTCCATCATTGTGCACTTTGGATGCATTATAACACCTATGGGTAGCAATCATGTAGTAGCACTGGGGAAACATCACAGAATAAGTAATGAAGCAGAATGGATCCTCTACAAACAAACTATTATTCTGTTGATTGCATGTTGCAGAAGACACCTGTCATAAAACACCAGCCCAAAGGGTGAGAATGTTGAGGGGGGAGGTAACTAGGAGTGCATTTTTGGGTGGAAGGCTTGTGGGCTTCATCCCAAATGGTTACACAAAACAAATTCCTGGGCTCAGCATTCTTTCATTCTAAGTGTATGTGTTGTGCAACTGGCTCTAGTTGGTGGGTCTTGGGGCTCTAGCAAATAACTAAAGCAAAGTAGATCATTCAGCACTGAAGTCTTCTCAAACCTGCCTGGAAGCATAAACCAGTAGCTTGGTGAGAAGGCAGCAGGCCAAGGGAAACAGGAGATGGTGTAGGTTTGAAAAGGAGGGGTGGATGAGGGGATCAGGGGAATGAGGGAATGAGGCAAAAGCCAGAACAAAGATGGAAGAGATGCATGTGGCCTGAAGCTGAAGAAGTGAGGAAGGGAAAAATGTAGATGTTGATTTCAAATGACCAGTTTTGTAATGTCCAAATCAGAAACCATGGTTTGTTTTGCTCAAACATATCATGACCGGAAGCCAAGACCTGGAACAAAACATGCCACAATCCCAGGTTCAGACATAGCACTAAAACAGGGATTGTGATTTGCAGCTCCTGCTTACACTAGGGAGGATTGAACCTGGAGGTAACTGTGCATTTACAATAAACCATTAACTATGTCTTGTCAACATGGAGTGGCAGGAAAAGGTAAGAGGGACTATAGAATGTAGGTAGGTTCATGTGGAAACATATGATCTTTCATTTATCCGAGTCCCAAAGTGTTTGGGGGCTTTAAATGGCATCACCAACACCTTGAGGCAGGAAACAAATTAGGTGCCAATGTAACTGAAATATTGCTTGTCAGAAGACCGGGATTTCTTCAGCAGCCTCGCATCTATATTGCACCTGACAATGATGACTATTGGTAGTGTACAAATACCTTTACCCGCCTTGAAATGTTCTTTTCTGGATAAATATGAGTGCTATATTGCTAGTCATGACACAGCAGCCGTTTCATCCCATGTTAAAACTCTTACTTGACAATAGGGTGGCTCATGGGATCTGGCTATAAGCATCCCAGACAGATTGATATATATAAGGTCTAGAAATTATGCAGTTATACAAATTACTTTGACTTAATCTGTCACCATCACCATGATTTCTTTAAAAAGTATGGGGGAAGGGATAGAAACTTCTCTCTTTTTCTCAGCCTTTTGCCGTCTCTTCTCCAGTTGCTGCTATTAAACAGCTGCTTGGGGCAGGGGGGTTACTCTCGTTGTGGGTTTGCTTATCTTCTGGATGAATAATGTCCCTCTTTAACTCTTCAGCAGCTGGCGTCCAGCCTATGTGTGAGAAAGATGCTGACAGTTATTGGGAAAACATTTGGAGTGGAGGCAGCTGCCAGAAAATAAAAATAAAAAATACTGTTAGCAGACAAGGGCAGGGAAAGATTGGAGGTATTAATACCTTCCAAAGTTCTTTCACATCCCATATTCCTTATCTGAAGGAGTTATCGCTCACCAGGACCGAGGTTTTTGATAGTTAAATCACAGGAAAGATGAAAGCCCTATTTAAATTTGTTTTGTTTTTGGTCATGTATCATTCTTATCTTAATTTGCCTCCTTTCATCATGGCCTTTTATTGAGTCTAGTTTTAAAGGGGGGGGGACAAAGGTTAGCATTTGAGGGTCTGATTCTACTCTTTTGTTCACATATGGAACTCCAGATGACTTTCACTTGATCCTGGGAAACAATCCACTTTCCAAGCCCCCTTTTCCCTTCTGGGTCATTTTTAATCACACACACACACCTTTCCAAATAACATCTGAACTTTATCCTGAGATATAACTGTGAACAGTTGTTATAAAGATCTACATAAAATCCACTATGGTGCATATATATATATATATATATATATATATATATATATATATATGGTTCAAATCCTTGTCCAGCCATGAAGCTCACTTTGTGACTAGGTTTGCACCATCTCTCAGCCTAACTTGTTGTGGAGGTAAAATGAGAGTGTCTTATGTATGCTACTTTGGTATATAAAGGAGTGGGTGGCACTGTGGTCTAAACTACTGAGCCTCTTGGGCTTGCTGAACATAAGACCGGCAGTTCAAATCCACACAACGGGATGAGCTTCCATTGCTCTGTCCCAGCTCCTGCCAACCTAGCAGTTCAAAAGCACACCAGTGCAAGTAGATAAATAGGTACCGCTGTGGCAAGAAAGTAAACGGCGGTTACTGTGTTCTGGCTTCTGTCACGGTCCTTCATGCACTAGAAGCAGTTTAGTCATGCTGGCCACATGACCTGGAAAGCTGTCTGTGGACAAACACTGGCTCCCTCTGCCTGAAAGCAAGATGAGTGACACAACCCCATAGTCACCTTTGACTGGACTTAACCATCCAGGGGTCCTTTACCTTTTTTCTTTACCTTGATATCAAGGAAGGATTCCCTGGAGAATCCTGTTTTATTTGTATTTAGTGCATAGATTTAAGAAAACTACTTATTCTGCATGCAAGAAACAAATAGTATTTATACACAAAGAACTGATAAAAGTCAAAGAATATGGTCAATGTTGAGAACAGGTATACAAGAGAAAATTGAGTCACCATTTTTAATGGTTTGTTATAATGAGGAAATAGGAGATACATCTTTGTTAGACAATCTATCAGTAGGTATAGCAATGGGCTGATTAAGATAAATAATGTATTTGAGGGCAGGATGTTTAAAATGTAAAGGGAAAATAGTGATGAAATGGGAGGGCATCAGCCCCCAAAACAGGTCCATTTGGGGGTTTGTAAGAAACAAAATTAATGTTATAACCAGATACAATTTACTTAGAGACCCACTGCTTAAATTATGATTTACTTACAAACCCACTTGTTAAATTGTTTGCTTATGTAAAAAAAAAAAAAGTTTATTAGAAAATATGGAAATGTTCCCACTGGAAAAAAGAACTCCTAGCATAAAAGATTGAATTTTGAGGATCTGAGAGCTGGTAAATATGATAAAACTAGATTGTAGAATGTGTGTCATGTATCTGCACTGTAAGGCACAAGTAGATAGTCACCTACATAGCATAGGAACATTATTAGAAAATAACTTATTGGTAATTGTATTTATGTTATATTTATATAAGGGACACAGGTGGCGCTGTGGGTTAAACCACAGAGCCTAGGACTTGCCGATTAGAAGGTCGGCGGTTCGAATCCCTGCGACAGAGTGAGCTCCCGTTGTTCGGTCCCTACTATTGGTAATAGTATTTATGTACATAATATACATTTCTTTTTATTTAGAGTTGTACATATCATTTACATTCAATTAGATCTTTTCTGAGAGGATTTTTGTACATTCTCACAACCATTATCCATAATTCCCAACAGGCTTTGGGGAATGTGCAGATCTTGACTGAATTCTGTACATTCTCTGGCCAATATGCATAATCTCCAACAGGCCTTCATGAATATGCATATCTCAACTGCTTTTGTGTATTTTTCGGGCAATATGCACATTCTCCAGTCAGTATGCGTAGTCTCCATGGAACATGCTTTCCCCCCTATCCCTAATTCAGCAGTTTGCAATCTGCACTCCCTGACCTGCTTCTGACCCACTGCTTAATCACACATGCTTAATCACACATGGCCCATAGCATACTCTCCCACAGATCAGTTAAGAAGGGATGCAGCTCCCCCCCAAAAAGGTTACTTTCCTTCTTCCTTTCTCCTACTTTCCTTCCTTCCTTCTTGAAAGTCCATTCAGCTGAGCAGCACAAGGGGAATCACAGGGAGAAGGAAGTTTTAAACCTTCGCCTCCTACCAAAAAAAGAAAAGAAAAAAGATTGCAGGGGGCTCAAGTTAGGGGGACTAAAGCTATAATTTGCATCTGGGATACTGTGAATGTCTCCAAAGCTCAGAAAGTCAGAGACAAGCCTTTGTATGTCAGAAAATATAGAGAGTTGTGGCAGCTGACAATTTTGGCTGACTACTGTTTGTGAAACTGTGAATAGTTGACTCAGATTCACTGTAGTCTTGGGTTTTTATTTAGCCATCACAGCAATTACTTGAACCAGAGAACACTAAGGATATTACACCTGAAGTCTCTGTCACATATGACTGTAATATGATTTCAGCTATTTACACTAAAGGGTAAAGCAATGCTGCCCTGTTACTTCGGCACGACCCATGTGAATGACTGTCCATGAGGTGCATCGCGGGGTTTGTTCTAAGGTCATCACTGTTGTTTCCTATTAGCTCAGGCACACCTGAAAAAGGACATTCTTTGGGAGATTATCGTTCTTCTCAGCTAGCTGAAGTGACATATATGCTGGATTTATGCCTCAGAACTTTGCCTGAGGAGGCCAATAATACCACAGCAGTGTGCAGCCTGTCACATCTTATTGCCTAATTATTTATTCTCCCTGCTTTGCCCTGAGTCCTGAGAAAACAGTTCAGTTCCAAATCTCCTCTTTAGTCAAAACATGCTGGTCAGCTGAGCATGGTGCTTGTCAGGGTTCAAGCCCACAGCAGGTCCTGAACCCAGACAGCCAAACAGGGATTCTTGAATGTGGGGACCTCTCTTTTTTGCCTGTGTGAATAAATAAAAATTGTCCAGTAGCACCTTAGAGACCAACTAAGTTTGTTCTGGGTATAAGCTTTTGGGTATAAGCTATTCAGACCTGGTCTGAATAGAGATATTGGATTCTTGTCTTATTACATATGCTAAAGATATTTTTGGTCCCTTGCTTTTTCCTGTAGGACTAATTGCGGTCATTAACAATAGTCAACAGGTTTGCCATACCCATTGAGTCAATCACCCATCTCCTCCTACCCTTCTGAGAAAACCCCCATCCCACTGTCCCACTATATATAAGGGTCTGGTGACTTCTGTTTCAGTGTATCTGAAGAAGTGTGCATGCACATGAAAGCTTATACCCAGAACAAACTTAGCTGGTCTCTAAGGTGCCACTGGACATTTTTAAAATTATTTAATTAATTAATTTAGACTGCGTCACACCAACATGCCTACCTACCTGAATCTTGCCTGTGTGAGGCAGTTATGGGGAACCTCGCCCCGGGCCTAGTTCAGCATGCTAGGCCTTCCCATTTGGCCTGATGTCCTATATGGCAGCAACATTAAGAGCTAACATTAATATCAAAGGACCTATAATAAAAGGGAAACAACAGCTAGTTAATTTGTTGCTGGTTTAATTTTGTTGAATGTCTTGATTGTTACTCATTTATTGTTTTTGTAAACCGGTTTGTGTAATTCGTTTATTATAACAATCAAGCAGTAAATACATTTTATGAAGTGAAAATAAATAAGAAACACTGCAAATCACCCCAAGATCTATCAGTAGCTTCTGATCTAAATACTGCTCACTCGTGTTCTAAAATACTCAGGTGTCCCACAACAGATGTGAAAGTAATCTCTCGAAGGCGTATAGCTTTTGCCAGGTGGGGCTAAGCCTCTATGCTAGGTTCCTGGCAGGTGAGGGCCTGTTGCCTACCAGGAGGGAGAGGGGTGAGGCAGCAGGGGAATCAGCAGGAAGCAAATGCACTGGACAACCCACCACCTCACCCATCTCTCAGTAGGTAATGGTGACCCACCTGGCGGGAAGCTAGTGCAGTGGCTCTGCCTCACCCCGGACACTGCTTCTGGTTTGTGGGCATCCTGAAGGCATGGCTGGCTGCTGTACGAATCAGGATACTGGACTGGTTTGATATTGGGTCTGATCCAGCAGAGCTCTTCTTGTGATGAAAAACTGTGCCTAAAAAGTAATTCAGGGAAATGAAATAAAAGTAAGCCAATAAATATTAAAACACTTTCCCAAGTTTGAACCCAATTCATCAGAAAACACCCTGAATAATAAACAGCTCCAGTTATAAAACTGCTTCAAAATGTTTAGATTTAATCTACAAGGGAGGGGAATTCAAGAGGTGAGAAGCAGTTCTTCCATACTTGTCTATTCTGTCCTAGGTAGATTCAGACCAGCAGCCTTCCCACAATGGTCTATTGGTGCTTGAATTTAACTTCTTTTTGCTTTTAACTTGTTCTTAACTTTTTATGATAAAAAGTTTGGGGGGTGTAGATAGGTAGGTAGGTAGGTAGGAAGGTAGGTAGTTATAAACTGTTGCGATGTATTTTTGTGATACAGCAGTATATAAATATTTTCGTTAATAAATAAGCAAACCTCAAAAGGAGAACTCTTCTATCAACTAAGGAGTCTGTGTCTGCATATACTCCATACATTTAAAGCACATTTAAGGTACTCCCCCTCCCAAAGAATTATGGGAGCTGTAGTTTACTCTTCACAGATCTATAACCCCCAGTACCCTTAACAAACAACAGGTTTCGGGGGGTGGGGGTTATGCTTTAAATGTATGGTATATATGCAACCTATGACAAAACAGACAATGCTCACTTTGTGTTTTCTATGGGAAAACATTCTCTAATAAGTGAACATATGTGTTTAATGGATAGATGTTTTCATTCATAAATGCCATGTGGTGATCTTTAAATTGGTCTCCAGCTTTAAGAATTCAGCAACTGCTTTTGCTCTGTCATCTGTGCAGCACATTGCAAAAAATTGCCACCAAATCCATCCAAAGTTTTCACATGAGAATGGCTGGAAAGACCCTTTTCCATTCCTAATTTATTATCTTTAGTTCTTGTTGTAGATCATTCCTGTATGAGCCTTCCTGTCTGAGCCCATAATGGAAACTGTGAGAAATGTACCTGGAGTCTTCTCAGTTCTGTTTCGTAAATCCTAAAATGAAGGATTTTATTTATTGATGTCTTTAATATAATAACAATGACTGGTGCTTTTTTGAAATCTTAGAATTATAGGAAGGAAAAGCATTGGAAGCAAAAAAGAAAGTAATTGATAGGAAGTGGATGACTTGACTGACTTTTAATAAATGTCCTCTGATTATATCTTCTAGATCCTTCAAGCCTGACTTTGTTCTCATCCGGCAGCATGCTTACAGCATGGCACTAGGAGAGGACTTCCGCAGCCTTATCATCGGCCTCCAATATGGCGGAGTCCACAGTGTCAATTCTCTTTTCTCCATCTACAATTTTTGCAGCAAGCCCTGGGTGGTAGGTGCCGTTCTTAAGCTTCCTTACATGAAATGAGAGGAGAGTTGAGGATCCCCGTACTGCAAGAAGCTCCCAATTTAATACTTTGGTTGTTTTGGTAAATCTAAATTATTTTGTTGTTATTTTGTTTCAAGCACACCAGGTATGCTGTGAGACTGAGGATTCTGTGCAACTCAATACCTAACAGGCCAAATAGCTGAACTGAGGAAAGCAGGCCTTGGGCTTTTGCTGAGAGAACATTGTCACAGGCAACTCAGTACTTTATAAGTGTTGTTTGTCTGGCATGTGGCAACCACACACTGGATTTTCCACTGGCCTGGAATTAAGTAATATGGAAGAGTGGAGGATTGTCATGTGCGAATAGTTTACCTGATAAAGGCTTAGACTTCTGCCACTGATACATCCTGCAGGTGTCAGGGTCTGACTAAAACGTTCCATTCTCTCCAGAGATCCATGGGGTGGTATGCAAAGTACTACAAGGCCATGGTCCCTTCAGCACAAGTATTACTGCTTGCGCAATGGAACTTGCCCCCCCTTTCTTTCCCTTGTGCTCCCCCAATCCTCCAGAGCAGATTTTAAATTCTGAAAAATGAATGGAAAGCAGGGATCACAACACAGTGTGCCATTTCCCCCTAATAAAACCAGGATGGGGGCAGAAAAGCATGGCTGTTCTTTATTTGCCAAGTGCAGGATTTTTGTATATTTTATTACATTTATATCCTGTATTTCTTCCATCATGGGACTCAAGTGAATGTAGATATGGTTGGTTCCCAGGTGGCTACCCATGTAGGCAATGATCAAAGCCAGACTTGCTTAGCTTCAGCAAGGTGGTAGTCCCAGGTGCCTTCACATTGTCCCCTGGGATGTGCGGCATACAATATTTGTACTGTGTAATCATAATCATAAGGTGATTTATGGTATTGGGCTGCCCAGATTCTTTAAGTCCTGATGAGCTCATAGCCTCTACTTTCTTCCACTACTGCTTAATAAAATCAAAGAGGTCAAACTGGCATTGGAAACAGTTTTTGGCTTACTTGATTGAATATGGGTCAGATATGCATTTCAAGCACAACTTACATTGCTGAGGTCATCTCTGGCAAGGAATACAGACCTGAAATTATAGCAGACTATTAAGAAATTGAGACAGCAAACTTTGGGAATTAATATTACTCTATTGCAGATATGTACTTGGAATTAGCAAAGCACCCTACCAATGTTACTTATTATGACAATTATTTATATCCCACCTTCCAGGATACATTAAAATATGTTCTTTAAAATGGCAATAAACAGCATCAACTTATTAAAAGCCACCAGGATCCTTCCCATGGGGCAGCTGGTGGTAGGATGGTTGGAAGTTTCATTTCCCTGATACCTATCTAGATGCTGGTGCTAAAACCATCAGATGATGTTAGCTCACTTATTGTGGTCACACAAACATAACAATTAATTAATGAATTAGTATATTTGACTAAGGTATGCAAAGCAAGCAAGGAAAACAATTCAGCAAAAGGTTATTATTCCCCATTAACTTGTTTCAGGTGGGCACAAGTACATTCTAAAGATGCCCATTAAAACTAAGGCTTCAGAGTTCAAAGATAAAGAAGGCTACAATGTACGCTGACAGAGAGAAGCAGCTGGGAGAGATAGCAAACTGGTACCACCATAGATGGATAAATATTCTCTGTTAAATGTTGTTTTCTCTGCTGGCCCTCCAGAGACAGTGAAAGTTTAATTACCTTTCCTTATTTTTCTTTCTTTATATCTTTTTTTCCAAAGCGAAGTAGGAAAGCTACTATAGGTCATCCATGTGAAGTGCATTTCATACCCCATTCTTGGTATGTGGTAGCATGCATTCCAGTGCAGGCTAAAAGCATTTACAAATACATAATATATAAATGATATGCTGTGAGGTCCTCCTCTATCAGCCTATTTGCTCTCTTAGATCTCTTGGAGAGGCCTTTCTCAGTGAAGCATAATGGAGTCAGAATGAAAAAGAGAGGGCCTTCTCTACCTGTGCCCAGGTTGTGAGCAGTGCAACGCAGCTGCCATGAGCAATGCGAATGCATTTGAAAAGCAGGGTATACGTTTTGGAAGCAAATAAATAAACATTTTTGTGTGTGCTGCTGCTTTGTACAAGTTTGGGACCAGGGACTGGCATAACCTGGTGAAGGAATGGCAGATTGCCCCCATGTGAACTGCGGCATGCATATAAAAGATAGATCACACATGTTTTTATATTTGAATGTGCTACATAATTGTACAGTGACTAACATACACTCCTCTTTTGCTTGTTGTGTCTATCCTCTCTCTCTCATATACACACACTTAAACACACAGCTGTAACTTCTTATGTTTGCTCACTGAGCTAGTCAAAACAGTTTCATTTTGCTTTTCTCATCAGATGTTCAGGGTTAGTGTAAGTAGTTAAGAGAGGCAATTTCGCTTCTTTATGCTGGGTCAACAACCTGTGTTGCCAACAATAATTGCAGGGGGAAATGGCAGGCTATTTTATTTATCTGCATGCACTGATCTCTGACTGGGCTTGCTGGTGACTTTTTACACTGTCACATGCTGTTGGAAGATTTCTGGATTTTCTCAAATATTTAATTTCCCCCCTGAAGGAATAGTTTTGTTTATTTAGACAAATGGTGAAGACCAGCAATATCTGAGAGGCATACAACCATGCCATATAATTTTTGCACTTCTTTGGGGTCGAAGAGTATGTGCACTTTAATTTTCTAAGAAGCACCCTAAGTTAAAAGGCCTTTCATTATGACAGGTGGATTTTTTTGGAGCACAAGTGGGAGAGGAAAGCAATGCTCCTCCTGCTGCTGCCCATAATTGGCCTCTAAATTTTTGCCCTTTGCAAAGTATTGTTCCCAAATGAACTTTACTTTTATCTGTAGGATCCATTCACTGGGGAGCTTGTCAAGGAGTATGCCTTGACATTGGGGGGGGGGGGCATAAATTTGCTCCTGGAATTGCCAGTGTCTATTGTGAATATTTGGTTTTGTGCATCTCAGTTATGTCCCAAGTTGTCCCAAGGTTGTGCTTCCGCATAGAACCCAGTAGGAGTGGTTTAGGAATCGTTATGTCCCTACTGCAGGTTCCATTTCTTGCTCTTGCTCTTGCTCTTTGGGGCAGAAGATGATGACCTTGGGCAGGACAACAGTGCTGGATTTAGGGTGGTGTGGGCAGTTCCCCATAGGGTGCTGAGATGAGGGGGCACAAAATAATAATAATATTCAGAATATCCATTTTAAAAGCAAATGTACCAAAAGAAGTTATTGTAAAAATAAGAAATAGGAGGGGAGCAGATTTTGTCCTTGCTCAGGTTGCCATATTACCAAAGTCCACCCCTGAGGATAGGAATTGTTATATGTATGTGCTTGTTAAGTTACATGAATCCTCTTTCTTTCCATTTTAGTTCTCTCAGCTAATTAAAATCTTCAACTCTCTGGGTCCTGAGAAGTTCCCTCTTGTGGAGCAAACCTTCTTTCCAAGCCATAAACAGATGGTAAGTACCTTGGGTTTATTTTCTTCGATGGTGTGCTATGATATATAGAGAATGGGACTGTGACTCTGGAGAGAACAAGTAAACTATTCTGTGGGCACTTCCAGACTAATGTTTTATTATGGGCGTACTCTGCAACATGTTCTTGAGACAAGAAGAGTGGATTTGTGGTGAATTTATTCCACTTTAGTGTTTTTGTGTGTGATGGTTCCCTGATACTACCACGTTATTGAACGCGGGTTCACGTATGACTATCCAATAGCATCATGAACACAAATCATAATGAATGCACAATAAAAAGCATGTCTGGAGGGGCCCAGTGACACCTAACAGAAAAGCAGCAGCAATGTGATGGCATTGTTTAAATGTCCCATTCCCATTTTTTCCCTAGTTCTGGGAGGAGGACATTAGAAAAGTGAAGTAGTATTTGACTGATGCATAAAGACTTCTGGATCTTGACAGTAATTGGTTCATACAAGGATGGAAGGCTGGATTTAGGTTTGATGAGGCCCTAAGCTACTGAAGGTAATGGGGCCCTTTATATGTCCAGCTGTCCTTTGTCAACAACAAATTGTCACTGGGTTTTTTTGTGTTGAATATATGCTATATGGTAATTTATGGACCTAATAGGTATCTAAAGCCATTCACACATAACAAATAGGAGCCTACACAACACAAAACACTGTTGCTGTATGTAGGTTTTATTTTATTTGTTTTTTATCTTATATTTTAGAAATGTACATCCAGTGGTTATTTTTCCTTTACATTTTTTGGGGGCCCCCAAGAGAGTGGGGCCCTAAGCTATAGCTTGTTTAAATCCAGCACTACAAGAATGCATTCCATATGTATCTTTTTGTGTCTTCAAGTTTGCCAGTATTGATGGGTGTGACATTGTGTCTGTCAACAGATATGCCCATCCCGTTTGGTCAGTTTTACTCCTTCAGGCTTGGTGCCTTGAAGGCCACTCCTCCCTCATGTGTGCAGTGTTCATGATGGCTGCTGATGCCCCAGCCCTAATGACCATGCTTCCTTATCATACTTGTGCCTGTGTGCCTGTGTACACACAAAGTATAAAAGTGTAACATTCATGACTAGGGTGTTGGCATCTCCCATGCACTGCAGAGAAAGATGCAGTAGCAATGGGAGGGGCAGGCAACGTGGGATGCGTCAGAAGTTTGTCTGAAGAGGCTGTGCGTGTGGCCTGATTATGCTTGTCTTTCCTATGGCCATAACTCTGTATTTCTATCTGCATGCCTTGGTGCCATCAATATCATTTTTGCTGTGCAGGACTGCATTCAGAGTAAATGCAGCTGTTTCTGCAGGAATTTGTTCCTCCTATTTGGACAAATAAAGCAGACTGTGTGGTACAGTACTTGGAAGGATGTGTGGGTTTGCATTCAGCATTACAACTGGTCTGAACTTTTCAGTGATGAGAACTACACAGTACTTAAAAAGCTGTGATACCATTGCTAATAAACATTTACATCAGGATTACTCTGTGAAGTCTGTTTGAAAAATGTGACGCAACCTGACTTCCTTTAGTTATAAAATTATTTCCCCATCTCTCACCCAAGTTTTCCTTTTGGGAGCTTTGGTTCTGTCAGTGATCCAGTGGACTCTAGAAATAATAATAATAATAATAATAATAATAATAATAATAATAATAGGCTTTATATACCACCCTATACCTGGAGTTCTCAGGGCGGTTCACAGAAAAGAACTGCTTGTTATTCATTTAAAATCTCAATAAGGACTATAACTATTTACATGGAAGTCCAGGTATCTTTTCTTATAACATGAAAAGGATTTAGTGCATTTATTTTTATACATCTAAAAAGAGGTCTGGATATGCATAGCAAAAGTACTTTTTCTTTTAAAAGAAAGAACTTAATCCACAAAAGAAATGCAGAGGTTATTAAAGCAGTACTGTTCTTTCTAGAATACAAAAAACACCAACCATCCCATACTTTTTCTGGGGAACTTTTTCTTTTGTTGTACAGAGCCTTAGGGCAGTAAGATTCAAAAACCCCAGTTTGAACCAGCTTGTTTCTAGTAATGTAACAAATGCTGTATAATGCTTAACTGTAAATAAAACCTCTAAGTGGTTGCTTAATTAGAATACTGTGTATGGGCCTAAAACATCTGTGTTTGTAGAATTATAAGCAGCCAGAGCTGAGGCATCAAGAGTTGCTGATAATTTATGAGGTGTAAGGAGAGCAGAGGGGGGAATCCTCTTGCATGAGAAGAGGTGAGGATGCTACTATTCAAAGTTTGAGTGCCATAATCTCCCTTGGATCTGAGCTGCTGCAGGAGAGGACACTGTACTAGATTACTCCAGCTGCTCTCTGTGAAGGATTCCCATTCTATTCCCTTGCATCATTGGGTAGGGCTGAGATAGACTGAGTTGCTTCTAGTCAGTGTGGATTCTGAGCTGGATGGACCGATTGTCTGACTTGGTATAGAATTTCAGCTTATCATGTAACTAGAGCTTTGTTTTGCACTTGTTACTCTTCTGAGCTCTGTTCGCAGTTCAAAATGGATAAAGCAGAACCTCACAAATGACGCGCCATATATTGTTTTGACTACTGGATACAGTTTTGAAAGTAGCAAAATGAACTTGAACTAATGTAAATGAAAGCAAATCTTGCTTGCATTTGCACATGGCCAGTGATCCCCATATGATCATTATCTTCTCCTCCAAATAAAAAATAAAAATCAATTTTCATGCATAATAATTATGGGAAAGCTATGTGACCGACACATGCTAGATTTTGTTCCCAGCTTTGGCACAGAGAAAGAGGAGATGAGAATTCCCAGGGATGACGCAGAAGCCAGAGTGGGAATTCTAAGGAATTAGGAATAAGACCCGTTGAAAGCTGTGGAGCTTAAGGGCATGTTCCCATTAGTGGCTTAAAATGCAGCAAGGTTGTTTTTCTGCACTGGGTTTCAAGCCACATTTCTATAGTGTTGTTCACATCAGAGTGGTGGCAGGGATGTCTTCATCCAATATACATTACCTTTTTGGTTTCTCCGCCCCCTGCAACACCCACCCACACCCCAGAACTCCTATTTATGAAGCTGTATTCTGTGTATGCACCCTTATCTGCAAAGGCACAATGGCTGTCTTAAATGCACACACTTAAGCATTAAGTGAATGTGGCTTAAGTTTTCTAGTCGGATTGAAGCTGGTTTGAGAAAAAGCACATCAAACAGAAGTATTTGTAAAGGGTCAATATGGTTGTGGAGTAAGTGGTAATATGAACATACCCTAAGTGTCTGATAAACATGAGTCATCAGCTTTCTGCCACTAACCAGCAATAGCCAGTCAGATAGCTCAAAACTGTCAACCAAATTAAAGAAGGGAAAATGTCTGTGATAGAAATAAAACACTTTATTGTTTTAGAATAAAAGGACACTATAAAAAGTGAACATTATTACCTTAAAAGACAATATACATTCATTGAATATAAAATTTATAAATAACAAAAACAAGGAGGAAAACTGTAAACAGTGCTACAAAACTAAGCAAAAATTACATTCCTTCTGAGGAGACGTTTTCTCCCAGACTGATAGTAATGGAGAAGAAAAAAGAATGCAGATTTACAGCCCAACCCAGTGCCTGTATGTTCGCAAGACAGCCCCACTAGGTTTGATGGGACATACTAAGACTGCAGAAGGCTGCAATCCTGTGCATACTTGCCTGGGAGTAAGTTCCATTGAACTCAGTGGGGTTCCTTTATTCGGAAAGGCATAGGATTAAGCTTTATTTGAAACGAATAAGGGTTCTTCATTGGGCTTGCACAGACCTACATCTCAAAACCTCTGGAATCAATGGAAAGGTGCCAGTTGACTTCAACAGGTATGGCTCAGGCCCCTGCACCAAGTGCAAAGCTCAGCTTAATAGCTATAATGCTGAGAAGCCAGTGTGGTGGATAGAGAGTTGCACTTGGGTCAGGGTTACCTGTTTCAAGTCCCGCTCTTGTCCTGGCAACCTGTAAAATGGGAATGATGGCAAGGGTTGTTGTGCAAGGGAATGAAGCAAAGATTATAAAGCAGTTTGCAATTTTGTTTTATTTTTAATGATTTATAAAAAAAATTGTTAGCAGTAGCAGACAGTAGGATGGGGCAGTGGTGCTGGCCTGACTTCCCGGTAGCAAAGTCACTACTGCTTACCGGGATGAAGGGTGGGAAGGTCAAGGTAGTAGGAGAGTTTGATGCTGTTCAGATGCAGCAAATATGGCGCTCCTGCCAGTGCATTTCTACAGCACCAAGCTTTCTCCCCCCCTTGCCCCCCACCCTCTGTCCCAGTAAGCAGCAGCAACTACCCCACCACAACATCCACTACTGATTATTAGTAACACTAAAAAATATGGAGATCTCCCAAAAGAAATGTATTTTTTGCTGGGTTCTTCCCCCTCAATCTTTACCCTCCATTTGACTCCTTATTAAAACAAAACAAAACCCCAAACAACCCTCTTTGATGGCTTGATTATCAGCATGGTGAAAGGTTGTTCTCTTCTGCCCTTGCCTTCTTAGTTGTGTTGCATGCCCTCCAACAACTCTTTACTTTCTGTAATGTACAATGGAAATCTGTATACAAAAAGAACTTACTTTTCCCCCCCGATGGGTGGCCTGTTTGTTTTGTTTGTTTGTTTTCCTACAAAGCACACACATATATTATAGCCTGTATAAAGACACATACCTTCTTGGCAATTAAAGAGATTTCTACAATAGCTTGATAGCAGAGCTGTAAAGTCTCAGCTATGATCTTAAAATTCTACAGTCAGTGAAAATAATACAAATGCGGAGCTGCCATTCAGTGGAAATACAGATCACATTTTTTAACAACCCAGTCAACAGGAAGCTGCTTCCCCTTCTTGCCTTTCAAGATCTGAATTCGTGTTAGGTTTATCTCAGAAATGACACAAACTGAACTTAGGCCACCTTATCTCCAGCAAGCTGATAAATAACAACCACTGCTAGAAACACTGAAATACTCTCCCTACCCACATCAGTCATAACACTGGCTTCACTGAATTTGGCCTGCTGCATCTTAAGCTAGACTTGTTAACTTCCATTTCAGAAGGGTGAAGGCTTGGTGGAGAGAGGATTAACTCAAGTCTCAATATGATTTTATGTGGCCTTGGCAATTTTTCAAGATCTGATTTATGGGTACGTAGACAGATCTGGAGGGTGCATCCTACTGGCTATTAATGAGCTACTGTCCTCAAACCTTATCTGGGACAGCGAATCTGCGCGGAGGTTTTGACAAGTTCAAAACATTGAAACACTTCTCATATGTCTTCGTATATTGTAGTGAAGTGCACTATTTTGTGCCCATATGACATTAAAGAAAAGCTGTATTATCAGTGCCCACTGTGCAGCTTTTAATTTCCAAAGTATGGTGAGGGATCCACCCCTGTGGTTCAATACTAAAATGGATATGCCTTTAGAACAATGCCATTGATTTTGGCTAGATTAGAAGTAGTGTTAGTGCTGCAGTTTTCGCCATTGTAGCTCTTCAGAAATATCAGTTCAAGAACGCTTCTGCTGCCAATAGCTCTGAAAGTGTCAGCAATTCCATCACAATGATGGCTTTAAAATAAGTGCCCTAAAGGGTCGACATTTCCTCCCTGGAAACCAGTACGAAACCAGGCACACTGAGTCCTATCTTACAATTGGCAAAACTTGCTCTTTCTCACTTCTTGCTATGGATGCCCCCTCGTTGTACAAAAAGCCCAGCTCTAGGCAGGGGTGGACTTTGGTAATCTTTCATAATATGCTACCCTGTGTGAGGCCAAAATTTAGCACCCTTAAATGGATCTTCTCAATTTTGCGCCCCCTCAGCTCAGCACCCTATGTGGGGGAACTGCCAGCACCGCCCTAAATCCAGCACTGCCTCAGGGTCCAGCTCTGCTGCCAGAGGGAACACTGGATGAACTTTGCTACTGGCCTAGTGTAGCAAGTAAGAACATAGGGTGCAGTCTTGAGATTAGGACCAATCTGCACAACCAGCAGACCACGTGATAAAACCACTTCAGTCTACAGACTACAGATTGCATGACTGAATGCTCCCTTGTGTTAAAATAACTTCCTACAGAAAAATAAGAAATCAGCAAAAAGGGAACTAGCTTAGATTTCTCTGGAATATGCTGGTTTTCTGTGTACAGTACGGGGATTATTTATTTCAGGATCATAGCCCTGAACTCCAGGTCATGACTCTCGTGGTTGTGGGAGCATCAATGCACACATGAAGCTCTCCCTGCCTGTAAGAAGGTAGCTAGGCACATGCTTAAGTTGATCGCTTTCCAGCTTATGACAGCTCTATTTTCTACAGTGGAATGAATTGAAGACAGATAGCAAATTAAGACACACAAAAAACCCAACTTTTAAAAAGTACTGTAAAGAAAACTTGTGTTCATTGTCAATATTTCACCCCATTCCACAGCCTCCGCAAAGTATATAGTTGCCCATCCCATCAGTAACCCTGCTTCTTGACAACATTATAATGTAAAATACTTTTATTACAATATTTTTATATTATACTTTTTCATAATAAAAACAAACAAATTACCAAGTCCACAGTGAAGGTGGGACAACCTCCTCCTTCATCCCTATTGCCAGAAGGTTTACTGAGCCCACAAGCATAGCTCTGCTTAATCATAGCCAGCAAGGTAATACATCACTAAAATGTTCCTTTAGGCTACAATCCTATACATACTTAACTAGGAGTAAGTCCCACTGAACTCAACAGGATATACTTCTGTGAAACATGCATAGGATTCCATTGCTAGAAGGTGATTTCTAGAGCCTTAGGAAATTCTGTACTTCCTAAGTATTTTTCTGGTAGCACAGAAGGGTGTGTTATATACCCATCCAGCGTATTTTTCTGGCTACTATGCAGACTGATGCAGATCATTTCAGAGGAGGAAAAAGAATGACCAAGGAGTGTTTCTCTGCATAGTATTCATATGGCAATGTGGTTGTGTGAAAACAGAATTGTTTTTCACTTTGATTAACCAGGGCACTTTCCCAAGACTGCTTTGTTAATGACTGGTGAAGAGGAGGAAACATAGTGACTTTTCAGTCTTCGAATAGCTGTGTGCATTGGCCCTTACTGCAGCTCAAAGGAGAGGAGGGAAGCACATAGCATGGGGAATAAACACCCATTATTGTCACTACTGCAGAAACACCAGAAAGTCAACCTCTTTAGTTTTAAACAAAAAAATAAAATAGTATCCAGTGACTTGGAATGTGAAGATTCAAACTTGTCATTGCTTATAGCATGAAACAATTCCATGTCCTGTCAAAAATAGCTTATATCATCATATCTATATACATTTCCATTCAACAAAACAGTGTTTTGGCATCTAATTTCTTAATGCCAATAGCCTTAATTAGATTACTTTTTTTTCCTTTTCTCCAGACTTCCCTTTGCCTCTCTTTCCAAGTATCTTTGTTTAAGTGTATTTATTTGTTTTATTTTGTATTGATACGTTTGCATGTATTAGGGGTTTATGTTGAAAAGGCCTCTTTGAAGCCTGGCTAAAACCCCCCAAATGCCTGGTGTTGATTTGGTTCTGAACTTGTTTGCTCCATATTTAGGAGAGGGATTTGCTCCCATTAATTGGTGTTTATTTTTAAAAGCTGTTATTTATGCTCTTGCACAACCCAGAACTACAATGGAGCTTTTACATTCACATTTCAAACGAGACAGGCATTTTGATGTAGTGCTTTTAATGCACATGACAGCTGAATCCCCCCAGTGCTCCATCCAGTTCAAACATCATCACTTTCTTTTCATCCATCCGGTGTGTGGCTTAAATTTGCTCACATTGTTAATCCTAACTGGTTGCATTTTTTTTTTTAAAAAAAAGAGTATCTACATGGTCTGAGGATTGAATGTGTAAGTGAAGAAGCAGCTTGGGGAGGGGGCTGGAATTGTGATACAATACCCATCTGGGAAATTTTTGAGATTTTTGTTTTCCTACAAAAATATAGATTATATTGCTATATAGAGAGTGATACATAACTGAGAGCCAAAGCTCCCTTATTTATCTGGTGTGCAAACAGAAGTTCCCAGATAAATCTCTTCTGACCAAAAATGGGTGATAGCGATTGTGTTGTTGTTTTTAAGTGATTTAAAACAAAAAACAAAAAGATAATCAGTTAAGACAGCATAGATTTAAAAAAACAAACAAACACCAAAGTTCGAAGTGCTAAAATTCGCAAGAAACAGGCACTAATATCATGGTTGTCATCATGATCTGATATGAGTTAGTGTCCAAAGAATGCTCAGCCGCATGGGAGAGAAGGAACAAAGAAAAGGGGGTGTTCAGGGGTCTGTGGCATTGATGGTTGTTTTATCAGGAGGTGCCCATCCTCTATACCAGCTGCAGTAGCCCTCCTTCTGCTTGATGCAGGCATAATGCTTTGACTGGTACCCTGGTTGGCCGAAGCTGGAAAGCATGTCTGTCCACAGGCACTCATTCTTGGAGGTCACAAAGCACGGAAGGTAGTAGCAGGGCTTAATCTGTAGTTTCAAAAAGAAAACAAGTGATGGGGGTTGGCTAAAATGGTTTAAGAAGAGTCAGGTGCTTTGCAGCTTTTTCTCTTAATGTTGCATTACTATACTTGCCCGCTCAGAATTAAACCCCATTTGAGTTTGATTTGATTTACTGCCTGGTAAGTCCTGTGCCTATGTTTGTTTGTTTTGTTTCTTTTGAAAAGTAGCACGTCCATATGGAAACATCTGAGTTTAGATCATGGGTTACAGGGAAATTCAACCGAATTGTAAAGCTGAAAAGTATATTTCTAGTATTTTTGTAATGAGCCGGTCCAAAAATCATATTCTTGAACTTGACCTGTGCCTTGATTAATGGAACTACCTTAAGCCCCTGTCCCTGGCAGGGAACCTCAGGGAGCCAAATGCAGCCCTCCAGGCCTCTCTATTGGGCCCTCAGGACTCTTCCCAGGCAACATCCTATCCTCAGCCACATCCCTCACTGTCCCTGCTGTGCACCATCCTTGAACATTTCTGTGTGGCTGGAATGTGTCCATGGACTCTGATAATACCTCTTGCTTGCTTGCCTGGATTTAAGATACCATGAAATGTATATGTAGAAACTAGTCTGCTGATAATATAAAATTTACATTTGTTGCACCACTCAATTTTGCTGCTGGTCCCACCTACTACTGGCATGTGGCCCCCAGAAGGGAATCTGGCCCTTTGGTTCCTTATTCCTGCTTAAGCCTGCGGGAGATGCTTGCCATGTGACTGCGCTCCTAGCCTTTGCAGAGCTTTCATTTTGCTCTTTTCTTCCCAGATATTCACAAGGAATAAAATTACAACGTTCCCTTCTATTGCCTCTCCCTTCCCAGTCCATCCCCAATATATGAAGTTGTTCACAACTCAAGGAGTGGTCACCGTACACAGCACACACCTTGCAGCCACAACCAAGGTGGTAACGATGGTTGAGTCCTTTGCGCTGGGAGAGAGTCAGTCGATCCCACTTCTCATTCAGGTTACACAGTCCTGTGTAAACCTTTCCATCATAAACTCGGCCTAGAAAATAAAACTGCAAATGAGCCATTCAAGTGTAAATAATTTGTTAAATTCCCAGATGTGGAAAATATCTGTAGTGCCAGTATTTCTGCAGTTTGGAAGTTGATACCAGATACGAAAGTCCCTCCCACATGCAAGGAATTAGCAACAGCATGGCTACCTTTTGAAATATAGTAAGGAACTGTATCCTACTATGTCATGCCTGCTTATTTTCATTCAGGGCTTGTGTCTTCAACACCTATATAATTAGCACTGAGAAGACGAGGTGGGTGGGAGGAATTCCCTAGGCAATTATGCTAATCTGAATATGACTGCAAAAAATTCAATTTCACATGTGTCCAGTCTAAATATTGCCCAATATTTCCAATTCTGAATGATGGTAGTTTAAGAAAAAAATACCAGTTAGTAGAAGACCTGAATTTGGTATTCATCAAGATTGAAAATCCTTTTTTTAAAAAAATTATCTCTCAAACTTCAACTGGAAAATGTTCAGAATAAAATTGACTTTGAAGTTTGAAATGTTGATAATTCCCAAATTTGTGTGAATTTTCATTAATAAGATACTGTCTTCTACAATGTAAAACTAACAGCCACTTCTCCTGCACTTGTTCCAGTCAGACGACACCTGATTGGCACAGATAATTTTGGAAGCAGAGTTAAATCAAAACTTTAGTTTTTGAGACTTGTGGGTTAAATACTTGTAATCCACATCCACTAGCACTAAGCTGCAACTCCTCTAAAAATACAGTTGAAACAAATACACCCTGCAAGCGAGCTGTGACAGACAACTCTGCTATTTCTTTACCTGTAATCAAATACTGGTACTTGTTGACCTCCAGCTTGACCCCGCAAAGGCTTTCAGAGGCCTCTGTGTAGATATATTGAACATGTGGCATCTTGTCAAAACCCCTGTACATCTTTAAAAAGGAGAGAGAGAGAGAGAGAGAGAGAGAGAGAGAGATTTTAATAAAATATCATGCAACCAAAAAATAACTGAGCTTGGCATTTCTTAGCTCTGAGTATTCAAACTGCTAACTCCAGGATGGCAACCCTGTATTTCATTTTAATATGTTGCAGTACATTTTCTAGCATGGTGGCCCCAGGAAATTTGGCAGATGGTGGGTTTGTACAGCATCAAGCATAAGTGTGTGTACTCAATGGACCACTAATATTAGAGCACAGTAATGTCCCTTTTCCATTACTGAATGACTTCCTCAGCTCCAGGAGTTAAGAACTATATTATAATGTATGCCCCTCATGTTTCCAGATGTTTGTGCCTCTCACAGAACTACAGCTCCCAAAGTTGCTGGGAAGGGAGCGCTTATGATAGTTAACTGGTTCTGGTTTGGGATAGTAATGTAAGGCATGCTGAAACTCTCTTTCAGAGATGGATGGGCATGTTTTGCTACCTTGTACAATGGACAAGGGCAGCCTGTGGAAACAAGGAAAGTCTCCTGAAAAGAAAGCTCTAATCATTGTTTTTTTGTTCTTAAAAACACACACCGAATATCCTACAGCTTTTATTAGTTCAGGGCACAATCCCGTGGGATCTTTCGTAACCTGCACCCACTCCAACACAGGAGTAATTCTGAATAGACTGTTGATTTTGTCAAGAAGGCAGCATTACTACTCTTAGAATCTTTCTGTCTCCACAGTCCTGTATTTTAGGAAATGAATGTTAGAGAACAAAGTATTAATGAGCATTGCCTGGTAGCGCCTGCTAGAACAGCACCAGTTCCCACTGACTCAGCATTCCATTAAGCAATCCTCCATTCCTGGGGATTAGGTGAGACTGTGCAGGAAAAATCTACGTACAAATCATGTGGTCCATCTCATTTTACAGTGGCCTTAAGACGGATGTCACGAGACAGAATGGTTGCTGCCACTTCATGAGTTTTAATTCATGGTTTAAATACTAACTGCTTTCCCTTACAGCTATAAAAACTTTCCTATCCTCTGCCTTAGAATGGGCTGGAGTGAAGATATTGGCAGCTGCATGTGCTGTGTGCCTTTCAAATTGAGTAGAGACGCCAACAGTGTCAATAGTAATGCTGACCTCCTTTGTTGCATGGTCAGCTACAGTACTTTTGGACAATTCCCAGAACACGCTGCCTTTATATTCCCAAGCAATAACAAAACATCATGGACTGAAGCCATATCAGAAATATTCTCTTTAGTTCTCTTTAGTATGCAGTTGGGAAAGAAAATAATATTTCATAACACAAACTCAAAAGGTTTACTCATGGAACTGTACAGTTTACTGCAACTGTACAGTTTCAACATATAGTTAAACCGTGGAATACATTGTAATGTAATGAGGTCCACCAACTGGGACAGCTTTACAAGAGGTTTAGATAAATTTATGGAGGATAAAGCTCACCATGAAATCTGTCAGGCCCAAATTGGAATCTGCAGTTAAAGTAGATTCTAACAGCTAAATTTGTTAAAGCAACTATGCCACTGCTTTCATATTTTCTATTTGCTCAGTAAGGCTAAGTAGGTTGAAGTCAAGCATAGCCCAGTCTCCTATATTTATCAGCAAATCTCTCTGTTTGGGTGAGTATAAGTCATTGTGTCCTGTAGCCAGATAGTGGCAAAATGTCTCATTCTCACAACATCCTCCCTCTATTTCACAGTAGGGCCCTCTCTGTGCCCGCCATACAGGGAATGGAATCTTCCTCAGTAAAAGTTAGAGGAGAGCAGAATTCTGGGAATAATCTCACACATCACTGCTCTGAACATGATCATGTGGGAGAAGCAATCCTTAGCTGACCAAAAAGTTTCACCACTGGATTCACCTGGCAGATTTTAGGTTTGGCACAGGGATGTGTCCAAAGAAGAAGAAGAAGAGTTTGGATTTGATATCCTGCTTTATCACTACCCGAAGGAGTCTCAAAGCTGCTCACAATCTTCTTTCCCTTCCTCCCCCACAACAAACACTCTGTGAGGTGAGTGAGCCTGAGAGACTTCAGAGAAGTGTGACTAGCCCAAGGTCACCCAGCAGCTGCATGTGGAGGAGCGGGGAATCGAACCCAGTTCACCAGATTACGAGTCCACCACTCTTCACCACTATACCACACAGGCTCTCAAACCCTGGGGATCCAATCTGCTTACACCTTGTGGTGCTTTATATTACCAGATCAATCCCTGCTTTATAGGAACTCAGCACAGCCTACGTTTTAACACATGGGTTGGGCTGCCCAAACCTCTAGCTTGCTCCTATGTAGCCTGTACAAAAGTTATTGATGTCATTTGCCTCTACACAAATAAATGCAGACCCTAGCTGTCATCAACCACTGCCATAAGCACAATACCCACAAGTGATTTTATTTTTTAAGAAAGAAAGACCAGTGGAGCTACACAGCTTTAAATAAAGTAAGGGAAACTGAGATTTCAAGCAAAAATTCCACTCCAGGGAAGGAGGTGTGTCGAGGTTGGTTTTGGCAGCAAGTATAGTTTGCGATGGCTTTGGTGCTGCACAGCTTTTCTACTTAGCTGGATGATGCCTTATAAAGAGAATTACTGTTATTAGGAAGCAGGCAAGTGGTTGTTTTTCTAAACCATTGCTTTGTCTAATATGTTTCAGATTTCTGCAAGCACTGCCAGAGCCTCTATTTGTTCCTTTTTTCTCCCTCTTCTAAAGATATTTTAACCAGTCTTATGACTGAGATGTTGCAGCCAAGAAAAACAAACCAGAGCAGATTTTTAACATTACATAACAAGAGGTCAGTTGGCAAAGGAATGTCCAGAGCAACAGGTTTAAGGAAAAGCTGCTCATGGCTAGAAAGTTCAGGAGAGAGCGCAAGTGAAGGCAATGAGGCCGCTTTTATTTCTCCCTCCCTCTCTCTCCACAGTCAGCAGGCAAAATCTAACCAGGCTCAAAGGGTCCAAGAATTAGTTGCCCCTATATAATTATCAGATATGTCACTGCCATGCTTAAGCTCACTCTGGGGGATGTGGGCATTTATTGGCACTGACAGCTAAGAAAGCAAGCGATTTGGAGTTCATGATCTTGAACTGATATTTCTTGTGGCAAAGTAACATGTGGGGGGCAAGTCAGGTGGCTGTGTCAAGATGCATCTCCATTTCAAACAAATATCTTGAAAATGAGTAAAAAAAGGCCCTTGTGCTGCAATGGCCGCTTACCCGGTCCAAGGGTAGGCGGCACTTGCAGCACAGCAGCTCCTTCCTCCCCCTAGACCCATGCAATGTTTGTTTCAGACATTGGTCCCTTCCCCTGTTTGCCGTGGTGCTCTCTGGGTTCCCACAAGACCCAGGTTTGAATTTGCACTAATCCATGGCCACTTGTGGGGTGGGGCCAGGGAGTAGACCTGGCTGCTGACGTTTTCTCTCTGGTCCGCTCCCAGGGCATTTAAATGGGCTGGTGCTGCTCTCAGTCAGAACAGGATGTGGGAAACCAAGGTTCAGCTCCTGCCTCAGCCTTGAAACTCACTGGGTGACCTTGGACCAGTCTCAGCCTAACCTACTTCACAGGGTTGATGTGAGGATAAAATGGAGTGGGGACAATCTTGAGCTCCTTGGAGGAAGGTGGGACATAAATGGGATAACAATAATACTCACAACCACCTCAACAGTAGTTACTCCCCAGCTCTGGAATGTCCTCACCTCTCAGGTACAATCAAGCACCAAGACTGATGGCATTTTGACATCAGGTCACCAGGCATTTGATAAAGTTGTGTCCCTCACTTGGCTGATGCAGTTATTTGTTTGTTTGTTTACATCGTTATAGCATACTGTTTGTTTTTACATTAAGTTGTACTGAAATGAAATATTGCTTTCTTGTAATTTAATGTTGTTTCTTGTTCTGAGACTGGGTGAGGAATGAGTAACAGGTTATAAATAGTCTAAATAAATATTGGCTTGATCATACAACTGGTTTCCTACATAAAAAGGTGGCATGCATGAACTGTTTTCATGGTATGCCCTGGCTGCAGAGTGAAATGGTCTCTAAACTAGGTTGTCAGAGTGACAACTACCCCTCCTGCATAGGGAGCAGCAACCCACAACTGAGAGAAAGCCCAGAAGGCAAATAATATTCTGTTCTGTAGCACCTGGAGTAGAATGGGAAGTTATTTCTAAGGACTGTCACGCATGCATGTGTCGTCTTTGTGTTTTGAGAGACTGTGGGCCAAACTATTGTGAGACACTATTCACACAATTAACAATAGTAGGTATGTGTTCATGGTGAGTGGGACTATTTGCACCAGGACCCACAGGGTAGGTAGGCTTTAACCCTTTGCTATCTCACTGAAGCTCCAAGCCAGATCCACCCACCCCCGGCCACACAAGCTATTTGCACTGGAAAAAGAGCTCCCATTCACACCAAAGGAAGATTTTATTCCAGTGCTAATAGGGTAAAATAAGTAGAAAAATATGCATTTTTGAGAAGCAACACATTAAAAAGTACTGGGAAAATTTGCATGTTCTATTAAAAAAAATAATCAGCAAATTGATGCTAACAAATTTATGAGTTCACATATATGAAACAGGTCCAAAACTAGACTAATCCCTTCATTCATAGTTAGCATATGATGGAGTTTCATGAGATCTATTCTCAGATAATGACATTTCTACAATTTGAAATGTTTTGCTGTCTCAATCCAGTATGATTGTGTACATACCTTCATTTGTTTGACAGTATATTGCATCGTCCCAAAAGGTCCATCCTTCATAAGCTTCTTGCCCACTACCTTGGCTCGGATGACTGTAATGAAAAGAGAAGGTTTAAGAACAATGCTGGCACCAGGTCAATAGCATCTCTGGCCGTTCAGCACTGAAGACAGTATGCATCAACAAAATGTATCAACTGTCCCAGAGTTGTCTCGTATTTATTTAATTTCTATGCAAACTTAGACTTTTAACATAGTGGCACCAGTATTTTGGAACACTGTTCCTATTGAAATCGTACAGGCCCCTACAATTTAATATTTCATCAGCTTCTGAAAACATTTTTGCTTTACCAAGTATTTTTACGTAATTAATTTAATTCAGTGTTGGTCTTTTGTTCTGTATTTTATTATTTTATAATCTTACAATGTTTAAAAGATTTACAGAATACTGCCATGGTATTTTCTTACAAGTTGGTGATTTATAAATGTTCTTAGAAACAACCAACCAAAACTGTTTAATGAATAACATAAGCTACAGGGCTGGGAAGATTCTCTCTCTCTCTCTCTCTCTCTCTCTCTCTCTCTCTCTGTGTGTGTGTGTGTGTGTCCCAAGTGCATAATTGTACTTTTGCTACATACATGTCAGATATCAAAGGAAATTTGAAAATTATCATTAACAGCCAAGTTTCCAGGGTGTGGTTTTTACGATTACTTAGCTTACACTTGAAATAGAGAAAATTCCTTGCAGAAGTTTTCCCCTCTACTATGTGGCTATACTGTTCCATTGGTAGTGCTAGAGAGCCATACTCCCAGTAAATGGATATGCTAAGATGGCCTCACCCCAAATACCATAGATGTCTTGAATCAGCATGTTTTCTTGATCTCTTCCCTCAACAGGTCTCGTCTGCCAAGCACCTTTAACAAGTTTCGTTCACAGACCAGTGAGAGGCAGACTTGACTCTGCTGATGAGATGGGATAGGAAACCATTTACTGCTGGAGAAGGGAAAGAATTTATTTCTTAAACAGGAAGATGGCCCACTAAGGCCTGCTACTTTGAAATAAGCATGTTGGCTTTTATCAAACAAATTTTGTAAATTAAGATTTGTCACCTAATTTCACCTAAAGTCAGATTGAGAGGTTCCTTCTAAGCCAGGACATCTGAGGAGTTTTAGTGAGTTTCCAGACTAGTAGAATTTCTCAGAGAGGAATGCACATTCTGTAATTTCAAATTCCTTCTGCAAATACAGATAAGCCAAAGCCACAATATATATGCAGGGTGAGGGCAGGATAGGGGCCAAATTAGACTACTTCTCTGTAACTTTAATAAAGGGTAACAAAATGCTTTTACAATTTCTCCTTTCCTGCGAATATTATCTTCAGATTCCATCAGTCATGGGTGAATTGTACTGACCCAGATTTTAATTGTTCATAAATATTTACCCAAGGGAAGCAAGGAATATGATTAGAATTTGCTTTGGCTCAAATGCAAGCTTTTGACCTTTTCCTTTAAAAAGAGGGATAATGGTGAAGTTTATTTACTAAAGGAGACATTCACCCGATTGCCTAGGGCTTCTGTAAAGTCCACATACCTCTGAACATGACACAAATTCATTTTTCAGTGCCAAAGTGACTGTAAGCAATATATACACAGCCTAAAACAAAAGCCAAGCTTTTATATTTAATTTCGTGACAGCTTTGGAGCAAAATAACCTGCCTTATGAAATAGATCCTGTCGTCTTTATTCTTCCTGACCTAAGAAATGAGTTTGCAGCATTATCTAGGAAATCAACTATGGCCCAATATTAATCCATAGCTAGTTTCTGTGTGTCATGCTTGGGCACAGATGAGTCCCAGCATGGTGATGTTACCGACCCATAGTTCTGCTTGGAGGACTAGTTTTCAGATTCTGACAGATTGGTCAGCTCTGCCAGCACCCAAATCTTATCCCATGGAAACACACATTTCAAGCACAATTCCATTTCTGTGGCAATCCTAGATTCAACTGCTGGCTACCCTCCTCACTGTCCTACAAACAAATGAAAACCAACATAGTGTTTCAATGTTATGCAATTCTATTGCTTTTACTCAGATCTGAAAAGAATGGAAGTTGGTTCAGAATGTGACCTGGGCTTTAGGAAAGTTTCTCTTTGAGACAATAATGTTTGTGCAGAGAGTGTGAATTTCAAAAGGCATATCCTGATATTTACACAAGTCTTAGACTTTGTGTTCTGAGAGGTGCCAGGGATTCTCATGCCAAAAATGACAGAGAAACAGAGATCAGCTTTCTTACAGATGAACAACAGCAGTATTTCCCTATGTCACCCATATTTTGCAGACTAGTCTTGTCTCAGTTCGAGATGTCAAACACAATATGGAATCATGCTCTTTGTCTTTAAAAGTGGCAAAGAAAAGAAAGATTCTTGCAGGTGCAGCTATTTGGGTTTGTAGAAGAAGAGGGGGAGGGGAGAAATTGTGCCTGCCTAAATTTCCCCTTCTAGGTTATAGGAGAGCTAAGAAATCTCACTTCTTATTGAATTCCATAAAAACCTACCGCACAAACACAGACACACCAATTAAAATAAATTAAAGAATGTAGCAGTGCAGGTAGGCTAAAGCAAGTTAAATAAGTACTGATTAATATGGAGCTCTTCCTTTGTTTCTTCTTCATTTAAGTGACTGCATAAATACTAGTGTGTAGTCTTCAAAAATATGTTCATCCATCCCTGAAAGCAAGTCTAAACGTGATTTGGATCAGTCTGTTGCCAGAACTGGTCTTTTAAGGGTACCAAAATGGGACACAAGGGCATAATTGAGCAAGTAAATAAATCTTCCTAAATCCCACAGTGAAGCCACTAGTGCTGCTGAGCTGGTACCGAGGTGGCATAGAATGCTATGAAGGAAGAAGGTGCCACTGCCTGGCATTCCAGTACTAAGTGCCTGGCACTCATGGGATCTCTGGTAGGAACCAAGGCTCATTGCCTCTGCTGCACCTGCTAGAAATGCAATTTGTTGATTTGTGAGGCCACAGCGAAAGGGTATTCTAGGAGGAGGTTGTAAATGGTCAGAGCTCTAATCCACAAACCACTTAATCCAGAATAATTCCATAGAAGTCACAGGAGCTATTCTTAACTAAGTGGTTACTTCGAAATGACTGCCTCGCATTTACACATAGTACTTAGGACACAAAAAATAAACTCTCTATACGTTTTTAGCAGATAGTTGTGCACATGCAGGCACAGTTTCTCCTGCAAAACCCATCACCTGCTAACTGGAGATATTTCAAACATCCTTCTTTGCTCACATACAGAAGTTTATTTCCAAAATATATTTACATAAGCCCTCTTCAAACCCCCTGCCCCACATCATGTGAGGGGGTCATGAGAACTCACCTGTTAGCCACAACCCAACCACTGCAACACCCACTCACTGGCCATGAATTTGGTGGCAATGTGAAGAGGCCCATTGAGCAGATGTGCATAAGTTGGCCTCCTCTCCACAAGCAAGTGGCCAGAATTTCCTTGGAGGACCACACTCATCCAAGTTGCAAGTGTATAGGTCTTTACACTACCACTGAAATTGTGACCTCTGAAGGGCATGTCTGGCTGCCATTAGGCAAGGACTACTTAATGTGTGATAGGATGTCTGAATAAGGCTTTTTTGAGTTCTTACATAAAATCCAACAGCAATCAATGTATGCAAATATATAGATTTATGTAACATCGCAAAACTAACATGAGGCAGTAAGTGCTTTAGACAGATCCACATAGCTTGTGAGCCAGCAGTAGTCTGTTACTCATGCATGGTGGTTCAGTAAAGCCTCAAAGAATTTCCATAAGAGAGCCGGGGTGGTACAGTGGTTAGAGGTTTGGGCTCAGACCTGGGAGAGCAGGGTTCAAATCACTGCTCAGTCATAAACCTGAAGGCTAGTCACAGGCTCTCAGCCTAACTTACATCAGAGTTATTGTGAGGATATGCATGTTACATTGAGCTCCTTGGAAGAAAGGTGAGATATAAATGTAAAAAATAAATAAGAAAGAGCATACTGAATCAAATATAAGATCTTCTCTAACAACTCATTGGGTTCTGAATTTGCAGTAACTTCTGCTGTGTTTTGTGACTTTATTTGCAGTTAGTCACAGTTACCTCAAGAAAAAAGAGAGGCTCCTAAATATTATTTCATCAACATACTGCATGCTAACCAGTAAAAAGACACCTTGAACACCCTTCTTAACTCTCTCATTTCCTCTGGAGTCCTATTACAGTCCTACTATTACTGATGGGAAATTTTATCCCACACAAGTGGACACCAAAATAGCAGCATATTTTTAAACCGCAGCCACTTTGAAGTGGTGCCTATGAAAACATTCTGTGAAGAATGTTTCTGAGTACTTTGGGGTTTCGGGTCGAGTCATTTTGTGGGATCAGAGCAGCTGACAAGGTCTCACGGATGATTTGTAATTATTTATGTAATATTAAATTGGATAGGCGTATAAATCTCAGATAAGATAAGCGTGGCAGCTATGCTTTGGTCCAAAAACAACCCCAACAGGCCAACTCTTAATAATAACTGATTGTCACTGAAAAATATAGTTGCAGTTATTTACATTGAAAATATACATTTTCCATATGCTTGGGCAGATATTAAAAAAAAGAAGTCTTTTGTTTTTTGTTGGAAATTAATAGTCCACACACATTCACACACAAAAAAGGTTGATTGTCTCGGTTAACTCTCCAAGTCAGAGCTATAAAGCATGGGTGCCAAAAAGAAAGTACGTATATATCTTTGCAATTCTGCTTGCAATTTTAAAACAGCAGATAAATATAGTGATACTTTAGGCCTTGCATCTGATCTTTTACTGTGGGTTTTGCATTAGCAGCCAACATCTGCTGGGTTGTTGCCAATGCACGTGCAGAGCTCAAGGCAGGCAGACATTCAATCTCTGCCTGCCTGGAGTTCGACATTTTTGGGCTAACCAATGAGATTTTATTTCTTCTCATAGTTTTCTTTCTTTCTTTCTTTCTTTCTTTCTTTCTTTCTTTCATTCTTTCATTCTTTCATTAATTGCTTCCTCAAAGCATACATAAAGCAATTTCATATATAAAAACAATCCCATTTACTTAGCGTGGTCTCTCCATTAACTTAGGGGAGGAGCAGGGGAGAAAAGACTACAATCCCAGAACAGGCTAGGAGAGACCCCTCCCACACACATACAGAAAGGACCTTTGGGGTAACAGGGTCTTTGCTGGGGGTGTTGAGACTTCCATGCCCCACCTACCCAGAAATCACTTTCTCCATTAAATTGGATCAACTGTGGAGGTTTGCATGCATGGAGGTGTTTTGTTTTTGTTTTTGTTTTAAAGGTGAACTTTCAAGTACTACCTAGTTCCCATATTGTGTGATAAAGATGTAACAGTGCACATGACTTAAGACACACACACATACTCTTTATTGCACTTCAAATTGGCATGCAGCATGGAATGGTTTTGCAAACAAGGGAGATACAGAGTTGTTTCTCGTGGATGTTAATTGCATTTGTGAAAAATACCAGGGCAGGGATGTTTTGCAAACTAAAGGAGCTTAAGTGTGGATTGCTCCTAGGTGTGGTGCTCTCAAGTATTACATCTTCAGATATATTTGTATATCAAAGATTGGACCCCTGATCAGCCCAGCTTGGGAGCAGGAAGATGAGGGGGAAGCTATGTTGCAGCTGTCTTGCAATTGGAGTGGCGTTCTCTTATGACCCATCAAGTGTGGATTGCAATCTTTCCATGTTTACTGATTTCTAACAGCTTTTGGGGGTAAGATTAGAGACATAACAAAAATGGCCCGCAGGGAATACCATGTTGCGCTGACTCCATAGCTTGTGACTGTACAGAAAGAGCAGAGGGGAATTCTATTCTGACAGGAGAACAAGCCTCAATAGTTTATGAGAGAAGCAGAATGATGTTCAGTGACGGTTAGTATCATTTGCACAGCTGGGGAGGTGGATGTATTATTGCAAGTGACAGGGATTCTTTTGTTCAAAGTTGAATGGATAATGCCTTTAGCTGTCAGTAACACTAACTGCTCGATCCTGTGAATGGTGTGCACTGGCAGGAGGCAAAGCCAGCTGTGTTCTTGCCAGGCACATAATGTAACTTCTGCAAAGGAAGGTACAGGTGGAAGCCTTAAAAACCTACATAGGACTGAACTGCTCAGACCATACAATTTTTAAAGGCTCGCCTAAGAAAAGGATTGCAACTGAGCAACATTTTTGGATAGCACCGGCCCTGCCATTAGGCACAGTAAGGAAGCAGATTTCAGGTGTCCTGAAAGGACAGCAAATTGGTGGTTATTTAATTTGTTATCATTATATTTTACTGCCAGGGAAAGGGCGGAAATGGGGCTTCTAGGATTTACTGCCACAGGTGGCAAAATAACTTGGCTGGTCTTGGGTTTTACACACCTTGGTTTTGGTGAGTGCGGATTATGGGTACCAGTTGTTGCTCCACCTCAACCAGCAAAACATCTTGGGCAAGCTCTGTTTTTAGAAGCACCTATGACCAGAGGGCGCAAGAAGCCACTGAAAAGTTCTCATATTTCTGAAGAATCAGTGTGGCTAAAGCACTGTTTTGGCAAGAAGAAATCCATTATAGTGATCATTCTGATAAGCCTTGTTCATCAGATGGCAATTCTGTGCATGTGTATTCGGGCTCACCCTGATAGAGTCCCATATTGCCCAACAATAAGTATGGGAATCATCAGTGGGAAACGGGTGAACCTATTTTTCTGGGACACTCTGCCGTACATGCAGGAAATCATTCTCATTGGTCCCTGCCCAAAATTGATGAAAACTGTCACTAAGGGCCAAATTCTATATGACACTAATCACATAGTTTGCCACTGAGTGCAAGCTTTTACTTTTATTACTTGCAAGTACAGGGGGTCCAGTCCAGATGAGGACCCTACTGTGCAAGCAGAGGGCTTTACCCTCAGTCCCCACCCCCTGTTGTGGTCTGGATTAGGGCCCCATGCCTCCAATTTGGTTTGAAAAAACAAGTACCCAGCTGGGGTTCTAATATGCGTGATTGTTTTTTGTCTTCTTTAATTTATGTTTTCATTTTGTTTAGTTTATCTATACTATTTCTAGGGGGAAAAAATAAATACTTTTTAAAAAAGAATCAGTGAACAGTTAAACATTCACTAGTTAACAAATGCCAAGGGGTGTTGTTGTTTTTACACTCCCTACGGTTTTCATTAGAGATTCTAATGTGACCTCACTTCTGTAGCTAGAGATCTGTATCAGAAGTTCCTGAAAGGCATGGTTTTATAAAAGCTGTATTTATATTAAATTAAACATCTAGATGTTTGGACTATAGCTCCTCATGGTTTAGAGAAACTGCATTTATGTTAAATTAACTGTTAATTTATCATAAATACAGCTTTAAAAAAAAACAGATGGGAGGTGGCTGATGGGAGATGTGGTGGCCATCAATATACCCTGTGGTAGTGAACCGTGTAGTATAATAATGGACTGTGTAAACTAGTACTTGCTCTTGTCTGTCTTCCCTATTGGCCTTTTCCACACCATGTATACTTTTACAGAATATAATGGGTTAGGAAGCAAAGTATTATCAAAGCACTTACATACTGGAATAGAATTATATTGCAATAGATTGTTGATAAATGAAGATGGAGAGAGTTGTATCCAACACTGTGTGAGAGGAGTCTTGCTTGTGCAACACCATTTCCCCTTCCTTTCCTCCCTCATGCCCCCCCCAAATCTCCTCCAGAGTATTTCACAATAATCTGGAGCAAGTTTTGAGGTGTGCAGAGCAGACGAGGAAGCGGAAGCTCTGTTTTGCACATGGAAGTCTGTTGCGCAAACAGAACCACAGCATTGGGAATATAGCTCAAAAATTCTCTCTATGTTAACCTTTCTTTCAGTAGCTGTGTACTCTGTGTGTCCCTATATTTGTCTGTTGTGCTAAGAGAATATGGGGGGGGGGGATTTGGATTGGAAAAAGTACTATATTATGGGGAAAGGGTTAAAGACCCTGTCCTCTGCTGCCACTATTTATAACCCTTTTTAAGTAATAAAAAACAACAACGAAAAAACATACAGAGACCTAATTGTGAAGGTCCTGCATGATTTATCTTATACTGTAACTTTTATTTTATTTAGAGCATTCATAGTACACCTTTCACACAAAGGTCCCAGGGCAGAAAATACATATTTATTAAAACAAAAATTGGCAACATAAAACTAAAGCAAAATACAACAACTGGTTTTAGCTGGTGCTTAAAAAAAAGAGAGACTGATCTGATCCACAATAATGATTCCACATAAGCAGGTTCTAGATGCAATTAAATCATTGTGTGAACTCATCCACCCAGTGAGTTCCTCAATGGAGCTCCCCATAACAGCCTGCTAACTTAGGGCTTTAATTTTTGCATGCAGCTTGGTTTGTGCCTGAAGAAGGGTATTTGCTGTGAATGCTTTGTGGCACACAGGTGGCAGAGATAAAGGAAGCAGTAAAACCAGGCTAAGACAAATGAGAGAGGTCTTATCGTAAGCTGTATAAAAGCTTTCCTTCATTCTACAGGGAACAGAAAATATTCAGAGCCTGTTTGAGAGAACAGCACATAGGAGGCAGCTACCTGGGCCATAAAAGTAAAGCATATGTTGTTAGCCAGAGCATGTATATTCCAAGTACCCTGAACTAACTATGGATTTAACCAGAACAGTATGAAAAGGAGCATGATTTGGGCAGAATGAAAGGAAAGCGTCCAAGTACGATGGATGGGAAGACAGACTCAAACAAAAATGTGTTGTGTATGCTGGGAAGAATCTAGATAATTGGCATACTGAGTTGGCAGTATTAAAAAAAAAAAACAGAGGGAAGGCTGTCAGTTCAAAAAGTTGCCTCTCTGCATTTGTGATATTACATTTTCCTATTTGGACTTTGCCAGGAAATGCATTAAAAACATGCTTCTTCATAAAGTTTGAAGTGTCAAACAAGGGGAAGGGCTACAGCTCTTGGCCTTCATCAAAGATAAAAAACATGTTTGTGATGAGATTCATAAAGTTGGCAGGCGAAACCTCTGGGTAAAGAGACTATGACATACCGGAAGAAGATAAGATTCAGAGGGTATACAGTATGGCTGGAACTACCATGGCTAGAACCAAGAACCCCTGGTTCTGTGTGCAACAGTCCCTTGTAATTGAGTCACAAATCTCGAGGTTGGAGCGTCTCCCCAAGCAGTGGGGTATTCTCAGACTTTGGACTGGCCACACCCACACTAGCCACAGGACCCTCCCAGACAGGAAGGTTTCCTATTTGGGGTACAACTTTGCATGAGAAGCAGCTGTTTTCTCAGTTCTGGTGTATTCTTGTGTATTGCCACCCAGGGCTCCTTCTAGAGGGAGGTGTGGGACATAAGGTCAATAAATAATATTTCAGTGTGCTCTTCAGGTCCAACTGTCTTCTGAGTGCTGCCAGCCCAGTCTTGCCCTGATGCAGGATACAAAATCAAGCTGGCGCCTCTTACAACAAAAAACTTAGGTTGTTGTACTTTGGTCAAAACTTAGACTTAGCCTTTCAACAGACAGAGCTAAATTTAAATATGGGGAGATATGTGTGGTGATTTTTCCTCAATGTGTACATTTCTTACATGCATGGACATCTTAGTTTAAGGCAGCTTTCAAACAAGTGATCCTCTGTATGCACTTCATTATGATACAGGCCAATGATAATATTTAGTATGTGCTTCCACCTGTGTACAGTGGTACCTCGGGTTAAGTACTTAATTCGTTCCGGAGGTCCGTTCTTAACCTGAAACTGTTCTTAACCTGAAGCACCACTTTAGCTAATGGGGCCTCCTGCTGCTGCTGCACTGCCGGAGCACGATTTCTGTTCTCATCCTGAAGCAAAGTTCTTAACCTGAAGCACTATTTCTGGGTTAGCGGAGGCTATAACCTGAAGCGTATGTAACCCGAGGTACCACTGTATTTGAATCAGTTTCATGTCAATGTGACCCACTGTTCTATTGGATCCTATCCATTTACCACATTTCAGTAAATTCACAAACCATTGCCTCTTTTTACACAGCCAACAGTCTCTTCTTCATTCCATCCATTTCTTTGCACATCAAAGTGTTTTTTCCCCCTTCTTTACTGGGAAGGAAAAAAGCAGCAAAGAGACGGGATTCGGCCTGATGTGTATGATGCATATTCTCACACATCTATTGACTTGTTTCAAGGCACCCACATACCTAAGTGTTTCATTTCAAGAGCCAATAGGAAGACCAATTAAGGCCAACAAAAACCATATGCCGTTTCAATGAAATGAGCTGGTGCACTGAGAACTTACTACTGTGGGATCACTTATTGCCTTCCTGAAACGTGCATCTGGTATTGATTGTTACCCAAGCCATCCAGTGAGCCATTATATGGCAAACAAATTGGAGCATATAAACAAAGATTGCTTCTTCTTCTTTTCAATGAAGTGTAATTTGGAAGGAAAAGTGTGCAGAAAGGGTAACATGTTCCATGTCCACTATTTAAGTAAAATACCACATTGCCCCTCTGACCATAAACTATAGGCTAAACATCAAAGCAACTGGCAAGGCAGTAAAGAGTGTGTAGGGTAATGTTGCCGCAAGAAGGTATTTAACTACTTAAGAGGCATCACTTTTTCCTTATAGAAGAATTACAGGTTTATTATAACATGCAGAGCAAGTAAGACAAAACTTTCATTTTAACAAACCAGTATTTAAATTGCAGGGTGCTGGGTTTTGAATAGTGTTCTAAATACCAGTTATTCCCTGTCTCATTGGCTCTCTTTATAGGAAACCTGTAATTCTCTCATATAAACTGTTGATTTCCTCTGCTTACTTCCGTTCCCAAACTTATAATACCACCTGCAGTCCTACCATATGCCTAGATCTAAATGGGTAGGTATCTAAGTAAAGGTTCTGCATCGGCTCACTGGGAGTGAATTTCCCACAAAACCCAAGAAACCGGGCCATCTTCTTGACCTTTCCAGTATGACCTTTTCCAAGAGAAAGTGTCTGAGTCCCAAGCTCCGAGTAGTTCTTCACTGGCATGTCAGAGGGCCATCTCTCCTTTCTCCAAAACCTCACCCCACTGGGAAGAGTGCCAGGATTTCTGGAAGGAGACTAGACTTTACTGATCACATGTTTTGCACACATTTTTGCACGTAGCATCTACAGCGGTTAGCCGAAGAGGTGTTTGGAAACATGTAAGGACTTCAGGGGGATTGGGTGGGCCCCACAAATTCCTTCCTGCATATTAGAAAACCTGCCCAAGTTGATAGATTAAGCAGCTGTCCAAGCCATAAGGAACACATACATATATATCTTTAACTAGAACACAACTTATGCACACCCTGCTCTGCATTTTCTATTTGCATGGGACCTGAGAATAGGCTGACACTTAAACACGCTGTGGGCTTATCTAGATGGTTACCAACCCTGTCCTACCACACTTTCCCCTAAATACTAAATTTACAGAAATAACAAGTGGATTATTATACTGTCATCATACAGAGTGGTCTGGCTGCAAGAGGAAAACAACCTGTTTGGTCTCACTTTTTAAACCAGAAATGGGGAACCTTTGACCTGCCAAATGTTGACAGACTCCTTCCATCATCCCAGACCATTGGCCATGTTGGCTGGGCTGATGGGAGTTGGAATTCAACAACATCAGGCGGGCCATAGGTTACCGATTCCTGTTTTAAATGAACAGACAGAGAGTCATAACCATTATGTACTCCAGCACTGGAAAGGGAGAGTGCACATGCTTTGCAACTTTAAATAGTTATTGGCTTCAGACGTCACTTCAAACATCCTTGTGCCAGTACATTCCTATCTGGTGGTTATTGTTTTACAACAAATGGAATTAACTGGACACACCAAAGCTTACAAACTTAAAGAGGGCCGTGTGCAATGACCTTTTGATGGACTCTTGTTGCTTTTGCTATAAATTTATCCTGATTTCTAATACCTATTTGTTGAGCATTTATCCTGATTTCTGTGCATCCCACACATTCTAAACTGCAAAAGTCCAATCCTTCTTTTAAAGTAGATTGTTGCTCGCACCATACATTTAAAGCACACCACTTCTCCCAAAGAATCCTGGGAACCGTAGTTTTTAAAGGGTGCTGAGAATTTAGCTCTGTGGTGGGTAAACTACAGTTCCCAGAATTATTGGGGGGGGAAGTGATGTGCTTTAAATGTATGGTGTGCTCTAGGGCAACAAAGCCCTTTAATCAGTTTTAATTGTGAAAACCTAAGGTTCTGTTATGAGCTTGAGACAGTCTGGAGGCCCCTTTATTCCGTTAGGAAGCTGTGCTTTCTTGGCTCCAGTGGGAAATGTCCCTTACATTGCTAAAAGAAAATAATCTTTACATAGCACGTAAGACTGTCTCTGAGTCTTGGTGGATGAGAATGCAGGTTACAAGGATCATTAAGTTTTCCAAAACAGGGAAACCTTCTAGGTGCATTTCCTGAATGTCTGCACATCTGGGTAATTATTACCAGAGAATCCGCTTGACAGGCAGAAAGTTCAAATTTTCAGAACACCCAGACTGTGAATCACCACACGCCTACTAAAATGCATCCCTAACAATTGGCGACATGACAATCTGGGCTCAAGATAAAGATATCAGCTGACCATTTTTGGTGCTGGATAAAATGTTTGTCACAAGCCCTGTGACTCATATTGTGACATGCCACCAGTCTTGGTACTTCCGTGTGTACAAAGTCCTTTCATGTTGCTTCAGAGATGACCTTCTCAGTGGTGGCACCCATCTGTGGAACTCTCCCCCCAGAGAGTTAGCCTATGACTAAATCATGTATCTTACTTTTTAATCTACTTTCAGCTCTAATAGATGCTGTTGTTTCTTCTTAAGCTGTACTGCTGGTTTACACACACCTTTCCCATTTATCTCAACCCCCTGCTAGAGCATCCCTAACAGGTAGGAGCATTTCAGCCTCTGTCTAAAGACCTTCAATTCCTCCTGTCTTTACAAATGACAATTTCAGCTGGTGCCGGTCCTTTGCCAGTCCCCAACTATCCCAGTTGGGAGTAGCAAGTGAATCACTGAGTATAGGGTGGCCATGTGTCCCACTTTACAGAGGCCAGCCCAAAGAAGAAGGGAGAGCAACAGGGACCTTGAAGTTGCCCATGAAAACTAAGCCAGCACAAGGGTCAGCTAGTCAGTCTTGGCCTGCAATGGCATGACATATTTCAATTTCAATTCTAGTAATTATTTCTAAATTTGCATCTATATATATATATTAGCATTTGCACACACCCCCAACGTTTGTCCTCTTTTTGTGATGCTAAACTGGCAACCCTAAATTAGTTTTGCAGGCTAGATTCTGTAGGTGTATGGAGTGAGGAACTATCTCTTTTCCCAGGAACATGCATTCCCCCCCACCTTTTAGTTTTCTACTAATGTGCTGAACTAAAGGTTACCACATAGCTACATCCTCAGTGTGCAAAATTTGTTTGTTTGTTGCTTGTTTGCTGCAATTTGCTATGCAGAATGTGTGTGTGTTTTACCAGTTCTTACAAAACGCCTCAGAACAAGTCGGTATTCCCGTTTTATAGAACCCAGGTCAATTTACAGCAAAGATTTGTGATCTGCTGTTCACCATTAAAAATAAATCAAAGTTAAATACCAGCTAAAACAAATTACAGCCAACAGAGCAGAATGGGTCCCTAATATATATCTCAGGTGTCTTTTAGCTGAGTAGTTGTGAGTTCTCAAAGATGCATGCTGCATCAGACATAGTGCAAATTCACGTATGGGGTCATTCCTTTAAAATATATGTGACTTCTTCCCCATCTCACCCCTTTCATGGAGTTTAAAGGGATCTGTTCCCAGAAATGCATTAATGTGCACATCACATCTAATGTGGCACACACATTAATTTTTCCCCTCTTTGGATATGCATAACAGAGCGTGCACGTGCGCGCGCACACACAAAAAGTAAAGTAAGACTTGGCCCTTGCAGTCTTCCCATGGAAACCCGCAAAGGTTGCCCTGCAGCTGTGCCCTCCGGAGCACCCTCCCTTCCAAGGCTGAAGTATAACTATAGGGTGAAGAGGAAGGCGGAATTTTAATTAACCTATTAACAAAAATAAAAAGCTGGCTAAGCCATTGCGCAGCGACTCTTTCACTCCTACTCAGCCAGGGGTCATGGTGCACCTTCCAGGGCACGGGAAAAGTTTCCTGGTTGCATTCACATACCGTGCACAGCATAAAGGGTTGTGTGTTGTGGGGAGGGGGGGATCAGCGTTCCAGTTAATTAGCAATATGATCAGACAGCGAAACAGACAGCTGAGCAGTTCAGGAAGTCATCAAGGTCATTGCCGAGTGATGACAATACCTGCAGAAAGTGGCAGGCACCCAGGCTAGGATGTTCAACAAGCATGCCAAGGCCATGGAAAATAGCCCCAGGGCTTGGGCAACAACCCAGGTTAAAGGCAGTTTGGATAGCTATGAAAGAGCATCTAGGTGAGTTGCCTTACCTACATAACCCCATGGATTTTTCTTACTGTATTCTCCAACTTCCTTGATGTAGCTGATAAGCTGCCACCACAAGGACCTTAGAAAACCTCAGTCACCCAAGAAATAAAAGTCTGAGTGTAACTGTGTGTCACTAAGACAAGCCAGAACATAAGAGCTAATATTGCTGGATTTTCCTCATTGCTGGCAAGGTTCCTATACTGATAATCGCTACAAGACACATCAGGTTTCTACCTTTTATTTTCTGTTTGGCAGAGCTCCTGTGCATCTTAACAGCTGTGTAAGAAAAGCAGAAATTTAGCAGATAAAGTTTTTCTATTGCTATATCTGCATGTCAGGGAAAATTTCACCAGCTTATTTCTCCACCACCACGCCATTTTTCATACAGGTGTATATGGGTGGGTGGGAGAGGCTGGCAAGCCTAATGACAGGCAGAAATCCAATAGGTGCAGCTTGTGTCGGCATAGACACTGAGTGATAGGGAAGCTTTAGCTGCTGAATGTCTGGTTAACATGCACATTTTAAAAGCAGAAAAAAGGCAAACAGAAAGTTGGCAACGCCAAACAGAACTCACTGTTAACCAAGAGATGGAGCTTGACTGATCAGAAAAAAAGATTTACACAAGAAATGCAAATACTTCATTTTCTTACTTCAATCCTAGTCAATTTGGGCTATGACACTGATTGGAGAAAATAGTCTTGAGGTGGTTTTTTTGTTTTGTTTTTTGGTGTCGGGAAGAAGGCATCAGAATTATTTCGCCTGTGCTATGAAAAGCAGAGGAGTTCTGCAAGAAAAATGTTGGCAGCTGAGAGCAAACACTACTGTCTTAAACCCTGTGTTAGAGTTCTAGTAATCCTGAGCCAACACTCCCGTACTAAAAAGTCTAACTTATCCCCAAGTGGTGGTGACTTCAACATGTTTAAAATGTTAATGGGAGGGTAATTTACATCTGGTTAGAGTTACAAAGGTCTGCCTGGTAGAGCAGAGTGAATTCAGTTTATCAGAAGATTTGAGTAAGTAACATTGAATAATATTCTTTCATATATTATTGGGAAATATGATCCCTGAACATGCGACTTGTGTCATGGGACACTGGCATTGGGGCCAGAACAGAGCTGCTTTCACTTGCAGTGTGCCCTATAGAGCCAAATACATTGAGGATCAGACTGCCTGCATTTTTCCAAGCGCTGGGGCCCTCAAAAGTCAAAAGCAAAATAGTTTCCATAAATAAACACAGAGGGCAGCAAAATAATGACACTCCTGCCCCATACAAACTTCACAAACTGGTGCAGAAACTAAGATACATTCATAAAGTTCCTTTTAAAATGAAAAGTGGCATTTAGAGAGGATAGCATGATTTAATAGGGTAAAAAGGAGAACTTGGCAGTGTTGATTTCAAAAGACAGACTAGGAAGGAATAAAATGTACTGCACAGAGCACACACTCTGTGTGTGTGTGTGTGTGTGTGTGTGCGCGCGCGCGCGCGTGCATGCATGTATATATGTATTAGAGAGTAAATAATACAGCATGTGTAAGCCCCTCATGCTGTATTGCAATTTCCCAACCCTGAATAGCGGATATCCTCAGAAACTCCTTCTGCCTCTTGGAGTTTTAGCTGTTCCCATTTGCCAATTGCTTGCTTTTGGAATTCCACCCCCCATCCCACAAAACACACATGCGTTGTGCTCAGGCTCATACTATAGCATAGGGTGTTGTTGGGTTTTTTCCCCCATTTCTGAGGTTTATAAATCGTCACTCCTGCACATGTGCATCTGTCTCTTGATAATAAAAATGGTTTGCAGGGGGGGGAAGGATAAAAGAGCACAAGAAGACTACAGGTAGTTTGGTTCTTATGAAAACTGTGGTGCTTCAGCATGGAAGGGTTAAACTATAGCACAAAGATGCCAGAAATGCTGCAGGAATGCAGATGGTTTGGTACAGAAAGGCTCAAATATTCAAAGAATGTCATTATCATAAGACATGCTCTATACTGCACCTTCATAAAATTCCAAATCAGGATTTGAATGATGGAACTACAGGATTTGATCCAGAATACCAGTGGTAACAAGTATTCAAAGGTGGGCATGGTTAGTTCCATGACTAGCCATGCCCACCTATCCATGTCCACTCAGAAGTAAGTCCCATTATGTTCTGTGGAACGTAACTACAAGTTAAGTGTGTAAAGAATTGCAGTCTAAACTTTTATTACCTGCACAATACTGTACATGTCAGATTCTGATTTTTCTGTAATAGTAACAAATGCCAACAAACCCTATTTTTATATAACCCCAGGGCTTTTTTCAGGGGGAACTCACAGGAACTCAGTTCCAGCACCTCTCCAGTGGGTGCCATTGCCATTCTAAGAGAACGAAAAAGGTGTTCATGGTGTGCTCTGGCACCTCTTTTTGTAGAAAAACAGCACTGCCTAACCCCAACCTTTTACAGCAGTGGAATCACTGTATAATAATGTATTGGATCACCACAGGTGCTTAATTTCTAAAAGGAGAGATAGAGAGGCTTCAACCTGTCTGGACACCTAGATCAGGAATGGGAAACATGTGGCCCTCCTGATGCTGTAATAATAATAATAATAATAGTAATAATAATATATTATTTATACCCCACCCATCTGGCTGGGTCTCCCCAGCCACCCTGGGCAGCTTCCAGCAAAGTATTAAAATACAGTGGTCTGTTAAACATTAAAAGCTTCCCTAAACAGGGCTGCCTTCAGATGTCTTCTAAAAGTCTGGTAGTTGTTCTTCTCTTTGACATCTGGTGGGAGGGCGTTATGCAGGGTGGGTGCCACTACCGAGAAGGCCCTCTGCCTGGTTCCCTGTCACTTGGCTTCTTGCAGTGAGGGAACTGCCAGAAGGCCCTCGGCGCTGGACCTCAGTGTCCAGGCAGAACGATGGGGGTGGAGACGCTCCTTAGACTGCAACTCCCTTCAGCCCCCACCAGCAGGGCCCATAGACAGCTATGGTGGGAGCTGTAGTCAAACAGCACCTAGAGGGCTACAGGTTCCTCATCCTTGCCTTAGATAACTAGGATGTGGTAGGGGTTATTTCATAAGGTGAGAAATGCTTTTTTTGCATATACTCAGCAGCATATTCCTCTTCATTAATAAATCACATGTTCCAGTTCTAGGTCTGAGCCCTGGAACCGAAAATGATTTTGGGGGTTAGTTTAGCTTGGCTATCTGTCCTATTTCTCAGTCCTTTATTTGAAATACTGCCTCGTCAAAGTCTGATTTAAGGAGAGCAGAGGGAGCAAGCATATGTCACCTCATCAGTCTTCCCCACTACAGTGAGATGTATTTATTAGGGTTGCCATAAAGTAAAATAATGTCAGGGAAAGTACAGACATATGGCTATCCTCTTGTGTCCTCCATTTTGGCCACCCTAAGTTTGGTTCTGCCATTGAGGCTAAGCAGATCTGACCTTGTAAGCTGCTTGAATGAGAGGCAGCTATAAGCATCTGAATGATACTTAAGGCGCATTACAACGTAAGAGTCAAAAAGAAATGTCTCCTCCCTATTTGCAGGCTTCAAATCTAACTAAACACATGAAGGAGAGCGATGGAATAAAGGAACACAGTGGAGGTAGAGATACATTGAATCAAAAATTGAGTGGGAGAATAGGATGTTTTTGAAGAAAATAGTGGGAGAAATTGGGCTAAGGTAGAATTTGAGGCAGGGTGCTCTGAGCTCCTTGGCTATAGATGCCCACATTTTTATTAGTCCCTGCTGCCATGCACCTCAACCTGCAGCCACTGGCAAAGGATGAGAAGGCATTTCAGCATGTCATGAAAAGCTCTCCTTGCTGATTTCTGCAAATTAAACAGCTGTTTAACAGCACAAGGGACGACCAGGAAAGTCTTCTAGAGGAAGACAGGGGCATAAATAAAATGAATTAATTAATGTGTACAATTATAATTAAATGAATTATAGAGGACAGGCTGGAAATATTCACCATGCTGCTCATTGATGTGGGGAGACAAGGCATTCCTCATTTATAGCTTACCTTCCAGAAGGAAGCAGGCATATCAGGAATATCCCAGAGGAAGGAACCTATCTATTTGGGTGTGTTTTTTTCTGACTACCACACCATTCCCATCCAGACATACACACAGGTGCTGTCTGCTAGTGCTATTAATACCGTGCTTGAAATGGTCCGTGGAAGGACCTAAATGAGGCATCTGAATGGCCCAAGACAGACTCTGTCACCAAGTATTTACTGAGTATTGTCAAAGCGTTAGACTGCTGTTTTGCAAAATGAAAGGAATGCAATGATATTGAGAACACATCTGACCCTGAAAGGCAGGCTGTGTGCATACATGCTGGTGCTTTATGTTGTGCCGGGTTCCCAAAAGTGTTGACGTACCTTGCTTTCTGAGCATTCTGCTAAGCTTCAGAAAATTCATTTGACAATAAACAAGATAAACACTGTTTCCACAGTGCTGGAAATAATTTAATTTCCAGCAAATCTGGCCAGGAAAAAAATCAGCTTCACTCTTGGGGGTTAACCCTAACCCACCCCTGGCCAAAAATACAATTTGCAAGTGGGTAGCTGTGTTGGTTCTGTGTTGTTGCAAAACCATCAAATAATCTTGTACCTTAAACATCTAACAAGTTTGTTATGGTATAAATTTTTATGGACTAGATTGCGCTTCATCAGAAATATACAGTGGTACCTCGGGTTACATACGCTTCAGGTTACAGACTCCGCTAACCCAGAAATATTACCTCGGGTTAAGAACTTTGCTTCAGGATGAGAACAGAAATCGTGCTCCGGCGGCGCGGCGGCAGCAGGAGGCCCGATTTGCTAAAGTGGTCTTCAGGTTAAGAACAGTTTCAGGTTAAGAATGGACCTCCGGAACGAATTAAGTACTTAACCTGAGGTACCACTGTATCTGCTATCCTCAGTTGCAGGTATATGAATGGAGGTATATATAAACAGCAAAAAGAGAGAAATGAAATGCAGAAAGTATAGATAATGACAATTATGTAATAGACAGGAAGCAGAATGTGCAACAGATGCAGATGCCTACTCTGTCTCCAAATCTACTATGGAATTACAATTTATTAAGTTCGGTTCTTTTCGCTGAGGTCTGAACAGAATCAATGGTTTGCTGTCCCACTACAGATGTCAGTTTCAACATTACTAAATTAATTGTATTACCACCTACCAGCACTGTTATGAATTTATTTTCCATATGTTCAAGCTCTCATTGAATTAGCACTGTCTGTACTTTTTAAAATCCCCTTGCCCTGCTATGTATGTGAACTTGCAGTTGCAACTAAGGATAACACTTAATGCATCTGATGTAGTATATGAAAGCTTATGCCATAGCAAATTTATTACTCTTTAAATTTCTCCCCACTGATCTTCTCATCTTTGCCCTAAAAGAAAACCTATGACTTTAACAGAAAGAACATTAAAACAAAAGGTTATAAATTGAATAGAGACCTTGAGCCGCTGAAACTGCTTCCAAGCCTCTGCTGGATAATATCTTTTCCACTTGGATGTAAACAACTTTGTGACTAGGTCACTATCTTGTTGCATTTGTAAATAATTTTCAAGGCTGGAAAAATCCCAGGAACCTGGATGCCAATCTCTCTCTCTCTGTCTCTCAACACACACACACACAAACTGTTGAATGGTGCCTGAGAATCTGAAAAATGTTCCCACACCTGGAGGTTGAATGATTCACATGCATATTTAAGTATGATGACTGGGAGTGTCTATAATATTACATTATTTGCAGAAGGAGGTGCGTTGCTTACAAATTTACAAACTACTTAGCAAAAGCAGTTGCTGGTGAGACAATCTGAAATCTAGTCTCCAGGTTAGTTCAATACACTGCAAGAAAACCTTTAGCTATAAAAGGGATATAAAGGCCCAACTAAAAAGAATAGGGATATCATTCACTTGCCCATCCTGTTCACATATAAAGTGAGAAGAGGTCTTACTTTAACCATAAGGCATGTGCAAAGAAGGGGAGCTGAACCTCTCCTGCTCCCACGCTTCACCTCTTCACAATAAGTACTCTTCTCCATTCTAAGCTCTGATCCTGGAACTGAGCTGCAGTGGGGGAAAGTGTCTGGAACAATGGGCACTGAGGAGAAATATGGTGTGGGAGGGGCAAAGTATTCATCTCCAAGATAGGGGTGGGGTTCCCAAACCAATATGCACACCAAAACGCATCTCTCCTTCAAAATTTGCAGCTCCAAATTATGCAGTGTGACTCTCCAACCAAATAACACTTTAAAAATGTGTACATCCGTGACAAATGCATGCAAAGAATGTAATCTTTGTGAAATTAACATATAAAAGATTCATTCTGCTAGGGTAAAATTAGGGAGGGAGATGCATACATTAAGATAAATCCACATGAAAATGTATCTGAATTATCATGTATACCATATTTTTTGCTCTATAAGACTCACTTTTTCCCTCCTAAAAAGTAAGGGGAAATGTGTGTGCGTCTTATGGAGCGAATGCAGGCTGCGCAGCTATCCCAGAAGCCAGAACAGCAAGAGGGATTGCTGCTTTCACTGTGCAGCGATCCCTCTTGCTGTTCTGGCTTCTGAGATTCAGAATTTGTTTTTTCTTGTTTTCCTCCTCCAAAAACTAGGTGCGTCTTGTGGTCTGGTGCGTCTTATAGAGCGAAAAATACAGTACTTAAAAGAAATTCACAAATATATAGAATCATATACAGTGGTACCTCGTGTTATATATGCTTCAGGTTACAGACTCCACCAACCCAGAAATATTACCTCAGGTTAAGAACTTTGCTTCAGGATGAGACCAGAAATCGTGCTCCGGCGGCGCGGCAGCAGCGGGAGGCCCCATTAGCTAAAGTAGTGCTTCAGGTTAAGAACAGTTTCAGGTTAAGAACAGACCTCCAGAACGAATTAAGTTCTTAACCCGAGGTACCACTGTAACGGTAGAGATGGGAAGCCATCTAGTCCAACCCCATGTAATGCAGGAATGTCAACTAAATCATACATGACAGGTGGGCATCCAACCTCTGCTTTAAAAGTTCCAACGAGGGAAAGTCCCCCACCTCTCAAATGAGTTTGTTCCATAGGGCAAACCAAACTTACAGTTGGAAAATGAGAAACTGAAATTGACAGATTTGTCCATCCCTATTCGTAGATGCTCATTTTACTGCTAATTTCACTGCTAATGTTAGACCACCTTTGCTTCGCCAGTCCCTTTCTGTTGACCTTCAAACCCTGCTGGCCTAGATAGAATATTGCAGGTATGTTTCCATATCACTCTATTCATTCATCAGGATCCTCAAGAGGCTGTCCACTCAGTGCCCTCACCATCTCAAGGTGGAGACAGGGCGTTTTCAGTGGTGGAACCTGTTTATGGAGTTCCTTCCCCAAGTAGTCTCGCCTGACATCTTCTTTGTTATATTTTAGGTGCCAGGTGACAATCCTTTTAATTCTCCCAGGTCTTTCTAAGTTTTGAACACTGGCCTTTTCAAATCTTCTCCTTTCAGCTATGCTATTTCTTGTTACATTGCATTGTGTATTACTTAGTTGGACTGTTATTATGAACCTCCCTGGGAGTCGTTGGCTGAAGGGAGGTATAGTCATTAAAAAAGTAAAATAAGCAGGGCAGACATGTGAAAAGAAACTCACTGCATCTAATTTGATCCTAAAGGCTCAGAGTAGGTTTTTTAAAAAGAGGTGTGTGTGCGCGCACAGCCCAGTCCTATGCAATTTTGTTCCATGGGGCTTCTCCCAAATAAGCATATATAGAATCACAGCTTTAAACTACGAAGTACATATTTCAAGTTACAAGCAAAGCAAAAGAAGGTATTTTTAGCACTGTTAGAAGAGGAAGGCAGGAAGTAGGAAATTGGGAGAGGGGACTTGGAAAGTCCATAAGGGGCCAAACCACAAGGCCAAGCCTGGAATATTTTTTTCCCTGAGAGGGGATGTAGCAATGTCACAGAAAATAGTTGCTTTAACCCAGATATCCGCTTAGCTCTCCAACTCAAATATCTGTTACCTTTTCATACTAGTCACTTCCCCTCTTGCAAAGTCAGGTAGAAGTATTTATTTTTCTACATCTGGTGGTTTTCCTCTGTCCGGCCACCAGCAAATCTCCTCCTTCTTGCTGTTTTTAACTGCTTAAATGCTGGAATGAGACATATTTAATCATGTGCAAGCCCTCTCTCATGCCTTTGCACAAGTCCTGGTAAATTCGAGAATGTAGGATGTGTGTTAAGCGGACTTTTTTTCAGGGCACGTCTCTTAAATTTTGCACACCTTTCACGCAGGTACTGTTGCTGCAAACAAAATGAGCACAAATTAAACTTGTTGGCACTGGCAGGCTGGGGGGGTGGGAAATACCATGATTTTCAAGGATAATTCGGAGCAGGTTTTCAGTTATCCTAAAATTATGTGATATGTGGCAGCACACATACGCCTATATTCACTCCTAGAACTGATGCAATTACCTGACCCCCAGTCTGAAGAACATAAAATATGAATAGAACAATGCTATTGTTAATCCCCTAGGTTTAGGCCCATCTTTGAATACATGAGATTTTCTTGTTTTGTGCACTGATACTCCTGTACACTTTTGTTTGGAGATACAAAAAAGACCAGCAGAATCCCTAAGAGTGCTGTCACCAAGACCACTTTATCCCAGCTTCCTTGAGCATGGAATAAACTTGTTTGGAAGGGGATTGTTCACTTACTCAGCCATCTTACAAGGCACTGGTGTTCCTGGGAATAGTTTAGTCTTAAACATTTTGCTGTTATGATTCCCATGAGGAATAAGTGAAACAGCGGGGTGTGTTTATCACAGAAAAGAAAATTAAGGAGAGACATGAGAGCAATTGTTAGATATCTGAAGGAATCAACTTAGAGAAGCGTTGATCTCTCTTGTTCCAGGGGTGTCAGGCTTCAGGAAACTGGCTTCCTCCCCCTCCCGCTTTGGCAGTAGATAAGCAGAACAAAGTGAAAGGAGTCTCTTACCAGTTAGAAATTTTAATGATCATAGTGAGAGAACAAAGAATCTCTTTCTAGGAATGAAGGTGCTCCCAATTGAGGATTCTACCTGCGTCCCATATTTATGTTTTTAAAATGCACTTGAAACATAGCTGTGTAGCAAATGTAACATGTGGTTGTCCCACAGTCAGTCAGAGATTCAAGTCTTACTGAAGAAATAACCCCTTAATGTGACTCTTCCACAGCATTCCTTGTACTGGACAGAAAATCTAGAAACTCTGCACACAGATACCCCTTGGATAGGTAGATTCTTACTCTTATTTTTTGCCTTTTGCAATTGCTGAAAACATCTTGGCTGCTTTCCTTTTCAGGAATATGGCATGCTAATTCTTTTCAGCCTAGTTTCCCCGCAATTAGGCCTGCACCACTTTCAGCCAAATGTGTTTTTTCCTCTGCATCTTGCTGGGGAACAGGCATTAAGGAGTTCTTTCTTCCAGCTCCATTTCTTAAAAGGATTACTTAAGTGAGATTAGCGTTCATGAGAATGAAAGGAAGCCCCGGCTAGAGCTCCGGTCTAGTGTTAGAAAGGCACACACAATGCTGTCAGGCCACCAGGCCTTGGTGCTAATCCATGTTCCAGGTTGGCGCTTATTGCATATCCTTGGGGAACAAACAGCATCTTGTGGTTTTATGAGGCAGATAAGCTGCAAGAAAACTAACAGCCTCATGACACAGGTCGCTAGAATTAAGACTAGCCATATGACCAGCAAATGGGCATTCCTCTAAATTGCAGCCTGGAGTTATTTACCAGAAATAGCTACGGTTCTACCATGGGACAGATGCTGCTACAATAGGTTTAAAAGTAGAAATTCAAGCTTGTAGTCCTACAGTAGATTGATCTGAAGTTTTGGTTAATTGGTGGGAGCAATTGAATTAGTGGGACTGAATGTGAATTTTATTATTAGTCATGTTACTTATTTACAGCTCCTCCACAGAACCAAGGGTTACCTAAGTGATTATGCTTGGTATTCCTCATAAGATAATACATACATTGGATGTGTATTACAGGTGTGTTGTATTTAAGAGGGGAACGTGCAAGATTATCATGCTCACATGGAATGACAGAGGAACATTCAAGCTAGCATTGATACCTCCCACCTTGTATGTTGCGAAACAAACAAGATTAAGGGGAATTGTTTGTCATTTATTAATGCAGACTTCTGCAAAGTTCTTTTTTTAAAAAAAATCACAACCTTCTCTGTGCAATATATTTAACATGTCTCACTCTCTGAGTACTGTTTCTCTCTAGAAAGGGCTTGTGTAAACAGTATCAGGAATTTGGACTATTCATGGTCAACATTAATTTTACTGCTACAGAACTCAAGAGGCCTCTGTCTCATTTCTAAGCATGTCCTGGAATCTCACCCAGTCAGCAGCAGGACTGCTGAGTACAGAAAATCATCAGCATTGTGAAAAATATTGCGCTGTTTATAGCCGAGCGTCACTTCATGCACTGAGCCTTGTAGCCTCAAGGGGCAAATGACAGAAAAGAGAGTTACTGTGTGACGCTATACAATGTCTACTGGGAAGTAAGCCCCAGTCAGTTCAGTGCAATGTACTCCCAGGTACATGAGTAGAAGAAAATGGCAGAGTATCCAGTGGAGTGGAGTGCAGAAGTCTAAGGGAAAGAAGTAGAAACAGAGGCATGAGAGGAAAGATAGGGGATCATAGGGAAGCGAAGGGCATAAGGCCATGAGGGGTCTCTTGTGTCTCTAGGAATTACATAGAACTCTCCCATCTGTGGTTTTATTTATTATCCCAGACTAGTGACCAGGCAATCTGAAAGGGGCAGTGAGTGCCAAGATGTAGTGCATCCCATGCTACAGCTAAAGTACACAAATGGATTTGAACTAACAGAGCACTTCTTTAGCTGCAGATCTCTAGTAAGAGTAAAATGATGTTCTGCCATTGCCTAGTTTTACAGGTGATGGAGGGTAATGGGAGGGTCAAAGCTTCCGCGGTCACCCAAAGTTGACAGCCAGCAAGACAGATTGGTAGAGCCACCATTCCCTTCGCACACCGTACATATTCTGCATTGGTAACTGGGAGGCAGGGCACAGCACCAGAGTTACTGACTGCTATTGGAAAGACCTCATGGGAAGTTAAGACTCTTAATGGTTACTGTTCCTGGTGGCTATGTACTAAGTCCAGTATCAGAGGCATCATTTCATTTGGTTGGTTGGTTGGTTAAGACATTTATATACTGCTTAATCATTAGCATTTCTAAGTGGCGTGCATTAAAAGAAGAAAAGCTATTTAGCATTCCACTGAACACCAGTAGCTGGGGAACAAAACCAAGCAGGAGAGCACTACTGTGTTCATGGCAGGTTCATAGACTCCCGATAGGCATCTGATTGGCCACTGCGAGAACAGGATGTTGGACTGGATGGGCTTTGGGCCTGATCCAGTAGGGGTTCTTCCTACGTTGCAATTCTCATGCTGCGATACTGGAGGCAGTATGCAGAAACTTCCCTCCTTGATCCGTTACTGGTTGCTAGGGTTGTTTGGGGGATCAGCAGGTATAAAACAGATGCTGTCATATTTTGGGTTCTTGTCCTTGAACCTTTTGAAGTCATGTGCAGACAGGAAAATCAACTTCAAACAGACTTAATTCAACTGGGGCAAAACGGGCTTATTTCAAACTGTTTGTTTTAATTAAAGCAATTATGAACACATTAAAAAGGGAATGTAAGGCGAGCCTTCCACAGAGAGAGGTCTTAAGGAAGCAGGTGATCAGAGCTTTGCTAGGGCAGGCTCAGTATGGAACATGCTACCTTGAAAATGCCATCTTTGCTTATCCAATTTTGCTTTTGGAAACACATCTGAATAAAATAAGTTGGAGTGGTTTTTTTTACCTTTATGGGAGATTGCGATAGTTTGCAAGTAGAAGGTCCAGGTGTCTCCAATTAAAGGCTCCCAGGTAGCTGGGAAAGCCTCTGCATGAAGGCCTAGGGAGGCAGGGCTGCTGTTAGTTGGCAATAGTTTGCCTGAATGTGCCAGTGGCCTGATTCTGTATTTTGCAGTTTCCTATGATCCTATTTCCTAGATATTCTAAGAGGTCTGCTGTTGATTCCATATACTGTATTTTATTTTAATTCCACTTCTGTTGCCCATTGTTCACATCTCTTTGGAGCAACTCCAACTCCCATCAGTGCCAGCCAACATGGCTGATCGCCACTGATGATGGGAGTTGTGCTCCAGCAACATCTGGGGGACCATAGCTTCTGCAGGCCTGATCTAACCAGTTTTGCCTATTCTCAAGGAACAAGTGCCTCCACATTCACAGTCAGTTTGGAAAATCTCCATGTGTTGCAAGGAGGGATTCCATAAAGGCAAGGTTGGGAAACCTTGAGCAGTCCAAGGGCCACATTTCCCTCTGGGCAACCTTCTGAGGGCCACATGGCAGTGGTGGGGCCAGAAGCAAAAACGGATGGAGCAACAAGTGTTAATTTTATATTTGTATAATAGGCTAGTTTTCTACACATACACCTATCTATGCTATATTCTGACAAGCAAGAGGTATTATCAGAATTCAAGGACAAATTCTAGTTAGGCAAAAACAATACCGTACAGGTTTTCCATGCAAATAAATGTATCCTACAAGGTAGTTGCAATTGATTTCTTGCAATAAGGAAAAAGGATATGAGAAGCTGTGTAGCTCAAAAGTGAGATGGGAACCAGGAAATCTTTTTCAAATCTCATCTCTGTCATGTATTCACTAGGTGGCATTAATGAGATAATAGTGACTTGCTTCACTGGGCTATTGTAAAGATTACTCTCACACACATGTAGGGGAAACAGTGAAGGTTCCCTATGGAGGTAAATAAAACTAGCTCATGAAATCAATAAACATTTATTGTACATACATTGCACACACACTTTCATAGTTACAGTCTCATTTAGTATGACAGAAGTCAGTGCCAACTAGGGAGCAGTCAGGGAGAGCACAGAAGAAGGAAATGGAAGAAAACTCTTTCTCAGTTGGAACTAAGAACCCTGAGTCAAAACTAGAACATCTGTCTTTCTGCACATGTTGAGGTTTTGAGGAGTTTACTTCCCACAGGAGATCTGGAGTAAGCATGTGCCGTGGTAACTAGATACTAACAGAATCCTTCAGAATTGCATTATGAAATACTGTAATACACACAATCTTCTATCACATTTTTGGAAGAAAAACATTTGGACTAGTAACAAATTACAAGCCAAATTCCACAAGGCACCAAGTGTTCTCAAATCCCCAGGCCAGCCTCTGTAGCTGTCACTCAACCACTTCTCTTGGCTGCTAAACCAGCCTTCAATAACCTGGTATCCTCCAGATGTTTTACTACAACGTTGCCATGTTGGCTGGGGTTGATGTGAGTCGTAGTCCCAAACATCTGGAGAGCACCAGGTTGGGGAAGGTTGTATCCTTCTCTTCCGCAGAATACTTTGCTGTTGAATGGAATATCCTGTTGTACAGCATTTTGATAGCCTCAGGCTGGGAAGCGGTTTGCCAATTTGTAAAATAAATAAATACCTTGTAACACATCTAAAGAAACCAGCTGATTGTGACCCAGAATTCTGCCTGGGAAGTTGGTTGACTAATTAGCTCATGAAGATTTAACAGAAATATCATTTGAGAGCTTTTCTTCAGGAAGCAAATAACTCCAAACTAACAGAAGTATGTACATATAATTGGAAGTGCATTAGTGATGGTTGGTGCCCATTAGGAATAGGGGGGCAGAAGGCAAGAATACCAACAGCAGGTGGAGCTAGAGCCAGTGACAATGCAGAGACAACTAATTTTAGTCCAGTCCCCACCCTTTTCCCTGCTGAGTTTGTAGAACTCGCAGAGCAGAGGTAATTCTGTGAGTAAGGAGGTTGACAGGTAGTTCCACTCCCTGGCAGGCAAGTGGGGCTGGCTAAGGGCAGATGGAGGTTAACATAAGAAATTAGGAACCTACTTGATCAGGCCAATGGCCCATTTGATCCAGCATCCTGTTCTCCACTGAGTACGAGCCTCCACTAGGATTACTCGGGCTCCCTGCTAAACAATGTCAACAGGGGTGCTGAACTGAGTTGCGGGGCAATATAGAAGGTGTAGTGTCTACTTTATACAACAGCAAACTCATGCAGATGGGGTAAGTTTATTTCGAGAGGAAGAAAAGTTAAGATTTTAGACATCAAAACTCTTGAGATGAACAGGGACCAATAGTATCCACCCATTACATCAGATAATTCCTTGCATAACATGAGACATATGCTCATGCGTTTATTAAAACTGGTTAAGTTTTAGTCAGAAAAGGCTGGGGAAAGGGTGTGTCCGTAGGACATTTTTCTATCTAAGTGTAATTGGGGTGTTGGTAGCAGGTGGAATAGTGAAGTGAGATACTTGTAGCATTTTATCAGAAAGAAGGAAGTGGGGAGGGTCTGTCCGAACATACAGATATGCTGCATTTAGCAATCTGAAGAATTCTTGCTTCTCATGCAAAAAAAGGTTTTAAAAAGTGCAACGAAAAGTACAACATGCCTGCTGGAATGATCACAGCTTTGTAAGGGGAGACAAAGCAATTGTCTCCATTATTCCACATACAATAACAAAAAGGGGAATCAAAATGTGTGTCCTTTGAGGGGCAGACAAGAACTATTTTGTCAGGCTCACAGAGTTCTCTCATGTCATGTCCTCTCTTCTTTTTCAAGCCATCACTACCTTAGGTCCATTAATTTCAATGGGTCTACTCTGAGTCAAACATAGTTGAAGGCAACCCCATGATTAGAAAAACGGGAAGCTGAGAGAAGCTGAAATTGGCAGTTTCACCCATCCCTACTTCCAAATAAATGCACACGACTAGTATAAAACCATAGTGTAAAACCACATAAAGAGCAAACATTGCTTTCTGGCCTATACAGTATTAGACTATAATGAAGGGTCCCATTTCTGAATGCTCCCTCAGTGAAAGTCCTTCCATATAGGAAATTACCTGTGGTATCATAACTACAACTTTCCTCATTTCCCAGGCATGGTCCCTTCTGATCTTCTTATTGTTCTCTGTAAATCACTGTTTCTATTTTGCCCTATTTAGGACATAATTTAGGAGCAAACAATAATAACCTGTTAGTCAAAATAAGCTGCAAGGATCCAATTAAAAAGCCCAGTTTGAACTTAAATTGGCAATTTCCTGTAGGACAGTTTGGCCCAAATATTGTAGCAAACAAGAGTAAATCTATGATACAATTTAAGATGGCTATGGTGGACCTTAGACTGTCATAACTAGCTCTTGTCCAGTCTGGTACTCCGTTGTGGCAACATGGACTCTCCATAGACCCAATTATGGATATATTTTTATTTATGACAGTCCTGTTCCTATGCTAATTTAAGTATGGTTAGAGGGGAGGCAAGATTTTGCTCTGAGGGAGGAGACGACCTTGGCTAGGCTGGATACTTCCTGTTCCTCCCTTGTCTTGCATCCAAAACCACCTTTTCCCTTCCTCTGGTGCTGGTGTCACTATGACTCCATAGAACTTGAACTGCCTTTCACCATCACTGCCATCACAACTGCCCTCTTATAGGCTGCTGTCATACACCAGTACAAAGAAATGAATGAGCTCATCCTAGTACCTGAATTCAAGCAAGTGTTCTTTAAAAGATGCAAGCATTATCCAGCTCCTTCTGAAACCACATTAGCATTTCCTTTTTAAAAAAGAAAAAGAAAAAAGAAAACGTTTTCCAGGATGCTTTCTAACTACTTCATTGACTTGCAGAGTCACAGGGACAATGTGAACAGATCTGTCCTGGCAGCCTTTTCTGAAGCACCTGTTCTTGCTGCACTGACTCCTCCCTAAGACATGCATTTTTGCCAGGAATCTGAAGAGCTGTACAGCATTGCTGCCAAGCCTAAAAAACCTTCTTCTCCCCACTCTATTACACATACACAATTTGTTTTATCAACCAGCATGTAGTTTAGTCTGCCTAAACCCTGCTCTGGTACACTGCTACAAGTCTCCATGGAAACACTTATGTCTTCATCAGCTAGAAGTTTGGATCCAATTCTTCCTCTTTTGGCTCTTCAGGAGCATGGCAGTGTTTACTAAAGAGATGCTGGCAGGGCTGGTAGTTGACCGAAGGACTTGGCCCTTCACAGACCACAGTGTGCTTCTCAGCATTGTGGATAAGACATGTTTAAAACGAAAAATAGACTCTTAGTATTGGAAATTCTGTTAATCTTCCACTTTACATGCTGTTCTCTAGTGTTTACACGTTGTGGTAAAAGTTACACTCTGCCCCAGTTTCAGTTCAGCTTGCAACTAACTCCAATTCTGAAGCTATGATTTAAAAATAAAATGTAGATAATTCAGAATCTGACACTGAATTAGCACAAAGAGTCTGCCTACTAGGAGCTTATTCACACCATCAACAATTAAGAGACTGTGTTATCTTTGAGTCACTAGAATAATTTGTTACTATGGCTGGATCGGATTCATGCTTCATTTAACAGAGTGAGTTTAAAACACATATCTATTGATATGCCGGAAAAAATGCAGGGCTCGCCCCCACTTCTGCTTGTCCCATGCCTAGAAAGTATGAGTTGGAGTGGTTTTCCAGCTCAGCCAGAGGTCCATCTATTCCACACTTCGCTCATCCTGGCAGAACTTGGGTTTCGATTGTTCCCTGTGTCTTGTCCCAACCCCTTGCCTGTGAAAGCAAACCCAGCAGTAGAGCTAATCCAAAACGTACTTATTAATTTTCACTTCAGCCAAAATCACGCTTGTTATTCACACTTCCAGATGCACCTTCTCAATTCTACCCTCTCTACATAAACACCAGTATTTATAGTACGCTGAGAAATCACAGCATTTATGATTAAGAGAACAATACAATCTCATGCATCACAGTACATCAGAAGCACATGGAAGAGCACACAAATGAGCTTTGAAAGTATTCCCATTTTCAGAAAAATGCAAACTCTCAATGGCAGTGGCCTCTAAATTGATCTGCCTACTCCTACGACACAAAGAAAGGAGCAGCATTAAAAATCTTCCAGTGAACTTTGAGCTGTCCATTTGCAGGATTTTCCAATCTAAAATTATTCAAGTAAAACTGCAACTCTCCCAGCACTTTTTTAACATGCAAAGTTTTTCTTGGCTTTCCGTCCCCAACATAGTACCTAAACTAGACATGAATAAATGGACTTGGCTAAAATCTCTAACCCTCGTTCTTTATTTTTATTTTTATTTTATTTTTAACTTTCAGTGGGAGTTATAGGCTAACTACTTAGAATGACATTCAGAGAGAAAAAAGCAGAGTTTTCCATATCAATCCATATCTATAAAACCTTTTCCATCTCAGCATTCAGGACCAGCAATATGAAGCAGTTACAGCATAGTTTGGAAGAGAGGCCATTTTCCTGCCTCCCTCTTTGTGTGTGTCATGAGAGAGAGAGAGGGCAAGAGAGAGAGAGAGAGCTCCAGTACACAGAAGGAGCATCATTTCATCTTCAGGTGTGAAAAGCTTAAAGTGGAGGTAGTATCACCTCCATGCCTGTTCAGGTCCATGTAAATGCTTTCACCACTTGGTTGCTCCACTAGCATGTTTAGCATACCATGCAAGTAATTCACCCCCCAAAGGAAGTGGCAGCACTTGTGTGGAGTATTAAACATATTGTCAAACCACCACACGGATGGATGCCTTTGCACAGCCACTCACCCTACAGCTATCTGGATCTGCAGTATAAAGGGATCCGCACTACCAGAACGGATCTGGAGAGGGCACCACTTTTATCGTACAGCTTTTTACCTTTCTGTAAAGCAAGGGGGGGTGTAACCTGCAGCCCTCCAGATGTTGTGAGATTACTGCAGTACTCTTCATCAGCCTTGATCACTGACCATGTTGGCTGAGGCCGATGGGAGCTATATTCCAACAACATATGGAGGGCCACATAATCCCCAACTCGGCAGTAAATGTCACTCAGAGATCACAACCTTTGCCTGTTATTATCTGGACATAATGAGTATGGGCATATATACTAGACATGCCATTTTCAAGCAATTTTCAGGAGTAGCCAACGTGGAGCCCTCCATCAGCCCCAGCCAACATGGTCAATGATGGGGGTCATAGTTCAATAACATTTGGAGGGCACCACATTGGCCACTATCACTATGGGTCAAACTACAACCATGAGTGTCACAAAAGTTTTGGGATGAGCCTCTTAAGTAATTGTTCTGGGATAACAATGCAGCACAAGGAGCTAGGGGACTACTGAGATCCATTTCAAGCCACTAAGGGGGATGCTAAGCACAGAATTGTCTTGTAAGTGTCCAGAAGAAAAAGTTTCAAAACTGTTGCAATAGACTATGAGAGACCAAGTGTGGCTATATGTGGTCAGTTAATAGCACCATATCAGACGGAGGAGGAGTGCACTGTTACTCCACTGGTTGACTGTAAAAAGTCAGGGTGCTTATGAACTACATTTTTCAGAAGGAAAACTACGCAAAGCATTTACAAATGAGCCATTTTAACTTGTTCTTCTCTCCCTTGTGACAATTGTGCATATATACAGAATACACATAGTGATCTCAGAAAGCCAAGTACCACACTTCTTTTGCTTTGATTGCCTGAAAACACAACACAATTTATGAACCTGCCCAGTTCAAAGCACACTGCACAGAAAGCCTGCAATGCCTTTTCCTTGACACTGTGTTCAACATTATGAGAATGAGGAGCCCATAAATACAGTTGTGACTAATTGCTGTGAATAACACTATTTTCAAGTTGCTGGGCACAGGCCCTTCGAGCAGGAGAATTTGTCCCGTGTTCTTGTTTTAGTATTTGCTTGACACTAGCCCAGCTACTTGAGCAAGTATAAAGGACATTTTGGCTGCACACACACCTTCAGTTTTGTTTTTGTCTGTATAGGAAAGAAGCCAGTTTCACAGTCTGTTACTATAGCCTATAAATCCATGCTGTACTTTTCCTCCTGCCCTAGAAGACTCTGTGATTATGAGAAGCATTGTACCTTAAGGTGTGTTTTTTAAATACTTATCTACAATATTTCTTCAAGAATATGCCAACACAGAGAGAAGTGTAAACATACATCACTGAAATATAGATCAGTTCTCCCCTTTATTTTTAACTGCATTTCATAGTTTAATTGAAGTCAGGTTGGGTAGGACATCAAAGGATTGGCACATCCGGAAGTGCATTATTCACTGTTCCTTCTCTGGAACTGGTGAAATTCATCAAATGTGCTAGGCTCCCTCTGGTATGCTCTGAAGCTGCTTTCCTTCCTAATTCTTCCGGAAACTGAGCCCTGACATAATCAGCTCACACTGGATCAGAGAACTTTCTGAATATCACTAAACTTCATAACACCGCAAGCAATCGTGAACTCCACTCGTACAATGTATAAGAAAGAGAGCATACAAGAGAGGAGGAAGAAAAGGAAACACAACGGGGAGGTTTGGCTAAGAATTTTGCAAAACTGCTTAGCTCTCTTGCAAAGGAGGTCTGTGTCACTGAGAGTTCCAACAGCACGTCTCAGTCAAATGGCTTTGCATTGAGACTCCACCGGTTCAGTACTGTGCAGTGCTTAAAGTTAAAACGATGGGCACCAACACACAGGCACACCTGCGTGCGTTTTCCAAAAGCAACCACCGGTTCTTCAAATCTATGGCACCAGGGAGGTTAAGAAGTCTCCAGGAGCTAATAATGCTGCCCGTTAGCGGCGGGGGGGGGGGGGGGCAGGACGACTGCACAGGGAACTGTACACTTACCAATGTCAGAGTTGCAGAAAGCATCCTGAGGGTGAATTGGGACGCAGGTACAAGCTTCCCCCAGCAAGTCACTCAGGCTCCAGCTGCAGAGCAGCATGAGAAGGCTCAGCACGCACCGGGACATGCTCCTGATGCTCATGCCCGAACAGTTACTCTCTCACACGGACCGGGGAAAGGGTGGAGGGTCTCTGCAAAACTGTTTCGTTTTCTGCAGCCTCCTGCCTCCCTCTTCTACTTTCGGCGGCGGCAGCGAAGAAGAGACTGCACGCTGGATCTTGCGGGACTTTCTGTTGCTGCGTTTCCTTCCACCCCTTCTCAACAGAAATTCGATTCTCTCCTGCACGAGTTCGAACCCCGCTGAGCGCCTCTCTGCCTTCTCCGCTCTCGGCTGCTGCGGGGAGTTATAGCCTTGATCGCGCCCCTCTCGGGCTCTTGGGGTGCCGCCCCCCGGACCAATCGGAGCCCCGCATTACCTCATCCCTCAGGAAAAGGGGAGCGGCTACCAAAAAAAAAAAAGAAAAGCACCACCACTCAACCTCGCTGGAGGCGGGGTCGCAGCAAGGCATTCAGCTCCATATAGGGAATAATGTGTGCGTTCACTGTATGCGCTGGCTGGGGGGCTGCGAACGGGATTTCTGGCAAGAGGAGCCGCCTGATGCGCGCGGAAAGGGAACGGGGAGGAGGAGAATAGGTTAATCGGGACGTGCTCCTTGCTACCTGTCGCTGCAAAGGAGCCTCCGGCCACCGCCGCCTCATCCCCACCCAACAGGTCGCCAAGAACTGCTGGAAGGAGAGGGCACTGCCAAGAGGCAGCAGGGCTGATTGTGCGTCCCAAAGACCGAGCCAAGTGGGCACAGAACTGCTCCCAGGAGTGCCAGCTTGGCCCTGCGACCGTGGGTGCCAGGGGCTTTGAGGGCCACGCAGCATGCATGCTCTGGCACCGAAATTCGTGGGTGCCTAGCCCTTTCAAGGAGAATTATGTGGTGCTCGGGCACCCAGGGCCCCAGGGAGTCAGCACCTATGGCTGCTCCCATAACTAGTCCACAGTGCTGTCCATCCCACCCCATATGACATGCTTTGCAAGCCACTCTGGGACATATGAGCCAAATCCTAGGGGCCGAGGTCCCTTCGTCACCCCCCCCCCCAGTGTAAAATATTTAAGGGGGTCCCAGCCAAGTTGATGGACATTGACATTCAAATAGTGTGTGTGCACAGCATCTTGTGATTCGATTGCCCTCCCCCGTTCTGGGAGGCTCTGCGTTTAAAGAAAATTGTTTTAAAGAGATTGTTTATCACTTCTTGTGAGGTGGGCTCCTTTGGGGAGGAAGGCGGGATATTAATCAATAAACAGATAAATAGCTTTTGAATGCCAGTTGTTGGGACTCACAAGTGGTTGAGAGTGCTTCTCATGTCCTGCTTGGAACTCACTCCCCCAAAAGGCAATGGCAGCCACCAACTTGAAGGACTTTAAAGGAGGATTAGACAAAGCCATGGATTGCAAGGTTACCAACGTATACTGCCCACAAGGGCTGTGTTCTGCCTCCACAGTAAGAGGCCCTGCGCTTCTGAATACCAGTGGCTGGGAATCACAAGTGGGCAGCATACTGCTGAGCTCATGCCTCACTTGTGGGCTTCCTGCGGACACCTGTGTTATGTACTAAGCTTGGATCCTAGAACAATAGGCAAGTAGGATCCTAGAATGCAACAACTGATTGGCCTGCAGGAAAAGACCAATGAGGCTCCAGGAGGGAAGCAGAATCAGCCAATCAGATGGAACACATTGTGTAAATAATGTATATAAAAGCCTGAGGTTTGGGGGGCAATTAAATCACTGTTTTACAAGCTGCAATGAAGAGCATGAAATCACTACAGGACTCTGAGTATATTTCAGCCTGATTGGCCACTGTGAGAACAGGATGCTTGGCTGGACAGGCCATTGGCCTGATCCAAGGGGGGCTTTTCTTACATTCCTATGGGGGTTGGGCAGAGCACCTGTCTAATTTTGTTTATTTTCCTACCAAACCTATGACTTTTTCTTTTCGTTTTTAAAGAAAAACTCAAGTGGGAATCCCCCCATTCATGGTGGATGTTTCACACACCAGGCTTTGACTTAGTTTCCATTGTGTGGAAACTGGATCCTGTCAAAACTGGGCTAATGCAGGTCATCTGAGTCAAACCTGGTTTTCTGCGTGTTTATCACACCTTTGAAACAGGCTGGAAGCCACAAGAAGAATGTTATATGCTATGTACCAACTTTGGTTCTTTTCATATAAGTTTAACTCTCATGTTTTCTCCTAAAGCATCCTGGGGACTGAAATATAGTGAAGATGCAAATAATTCTGCTTTGCGATGCCTATGACAACCTTACAGCTCAAGAAGTACCTTGAGAAAATAGCTAAATCCTATATGTGTGGATATGTTCATGGGGTGCAAGCTAATTCTGAATTAGAGATAGTAAAAAGGAATTCCATTTTAAGTGCCTTTTTATCTTTAAGGGGAAAGTGCAGCAACACATTAATGTCACATTTCTTTCCCCAATAAACAAATGTGCTAGTGGGGAAATGATGGCATGTTGTTTTGTCACTGGAGAACCATTATTTGATGTTGCGTTGGGTAATGCTCAAAAAAGCTCCACTCAAAGCCTCCCTGTCACTATGAGTTTATAAAGTCAGCTGTTTAGAACTGAGTTTGGAAAAGCCCCATCATCTTCCAACTCTTAATATTGGTGCATATTTCAGCAATTGCAATACTCTCTGCAATTTATGGGGAGGAATTGTTTGTATTCTTTTGCTCCATTCCCCTGTGGGATCATATGGCAGAGACAGAATCACAGCAAAGGAAACTGTCAGATGCAAGATGTAACAAGGCAACCTTATTATCCTGGAAAGACAGGGCAGGGTGATTAATCACATTAGACCACTGTGTGTGATGTCAGAACTCTATTATTGGGATTTAGAAGATTTAGACATCGCTAGCCTTACATTGTGCTGCTTAAACTGGGGTCACCAACCTTTTATGGCCCACGAGCACATTCGCAAACTCGAGAAACTGCCATAGGCACCACATACCCAAGACCACAACTGAAGTTTGATTGCAGTGCAGGGGGCTTTTTTCTTTTCTTTTTTGAGGGGGGGGGGACTTTCACAGCTGCATTATCGCAGCATCACCCAAAACACCACAATTAGGAATTAAGTTTAATATTGTGTATGTGTGATATTATAGGCTTTAATATTGTATTTTTACATTGTTCTAACCTGCATTTGGAATTTACAGTGAACGTAATCTAATAAACCTTAATGAAAATGAGACCAGTCCTTTGAAACCGGCATGATAAGGTGTGTGCTTGATATTGCTCCAGAGGTGCCAGGGGGTGCAGTGAGGGAGCATATAAATTCTTCAGCCTGCCCCAATCTATTAGCTATGGTAACAACAAGAAAAGTTAGCATTATATCCACACTTAATGTTTTGCAATAGGGGCAGGATCAGTAGAGAACAAAATTGCAATTCCCTCTGTGTTACCTTTGTGTGTAGACTTTGAACCAATTGCTTAACTCCCAGATCATTTCCCCCCTCTCCAACCTCCTTCAGGAGGATGGAGAAACTCTGTAATTAGAGTGTACCACGTCACATGAAATATATCCTTTGTAAGAAAATTAAAATAGTGCTGTATCATCAAATAATGAAGCCCTAGTTATCTTTGTTCTTGCTCGGATGAAGCTAAGAGGTTGCACCCCAGGATAAGGTAACCCATAGTGCATAATGAGCTCTTATCTGGCGTGCTTAGACTATAATCTGAAACAAGCCTTATATAATTAATTGAAAACCCTCTAGTGCAGTTGTTGGGGGGTATATATGCTTTGCTATGAAATTGTCTCAGAAGTTGTAGGGTATTTTTCCCAAGGGGCCACATTTGCCTACTGTTTATCTCAGCTAGGTGCCTGTCCAAGCCCTTTAGAACAATCATAAGCATATTTACTCAGTCTCCTGCCAAGCTCAGTGAGGCTCCCTTCCAAGTAAGTGTGCTTAAGACAGCTGCCTCAATAATACTCAGTATTTACGTATGTAGTACTTTTAGCATTCAAAGTGCTTCCCATACACTATATTAGGTCACACCCACACCATACATTTAAAGCTCTATTCAACTACGTTAACAGTCAATGTAGAAATCTGGGAACTGTAATTTGTTAATGGTGCTATCCTCACAGAGCTAAAATTCCCATCACCCTTAACAAACTACAGTTCCCAGGCTTTTCCATGGCAATTAAAGTGGTATAATAGTGCTTTCAATATACAGTGGTGATGGATGTGAATTTATTAATCCTTTAACCCATTCACCCTGGCAAGGGAGACCAGCATTATTTTATTATATTACAGATGAGAGCAGAATACACTTGCCTGCCTATGGCCACCTAGTGGGTTCATAGTGGAGATGGAATTTTTGAATTGTAGACTTTTCCATTCACAGCTCTATCTATGCTATGTTGTAATTGGTACACAGTAAGAAATATGTGCACCTTGCAACTCTCAAAAGGTGATAAGTTATTTCTGAAGTAGACTGCCAACACTACCAGAGCAGAAGTTTCCTTTAGAACATATTTCCCTTCCCAAGTCAGCTTGGAATGTGTCTGAGAATTATGCTAGAGGGCACTGTGTTCTAAGAGACTGGGGCTTTGGGGATTTATTGGAGAGAAGAAGAAAATATGTTGCTCGTCATTTGAGATCATTAAAGATTCAATTGATCTTTTATTTGCATGGCTCGGGTTTCCGGTGCTTCTTGAGGTCTGCCTTTGCTACATTCCAATTAAGATCCCTCTGTTCTCCATCTGTCAAATTCCCAAGTCCATCTTGGTTGTTCACTCCTGACTTCTCTTCCCAGCAAGGAATATCTGAGATGCCATTCCCAAAAGATGCCTGAAGAGGGTGAACTGTCTCTAGACAGGAGCTAAAAGGCTCTGGTATCTTCAAGAACACTATTACTCAATTTTTAAATGAGATTATCAGTTAATAGCTAGGGAGCTCTAGAATCCTAAAGGTAACTGCTTCTAAAACAACAGAACCCTGTGAATGTAATTGTATTGGCAATTGGCCACATTTCTCCACTGCTTGAGTCATCTTATTCATAACTTTCCTGTTCCAGTCTAACTCACATAGAATAGACCATGCATACTTCTTTCCCCATACTATATTGCTTTCACACCCAAAACTAAAGAAAAGCCTATTCCAAACATCGGCATCACACATCCCCTTCTCTCCTGTTTTCCCCAATGTCAGTGTGCCTCCACAGGCAGAATAAGATAGAAGTGAGAAGCAACTATTCACTTTTGGGGGAAATGTAAAGGGGTGCTCTTGGAGACACCGTTGGTAAGGGCTAAATCTCCTTGCCATTCTCAACTGGCCATTGAGAATCAAGCTCGATGTTGAATTCGTAGCTCCACTCCTTCATCTACCTGGGTTCTGTTTCTTGGTAACACTGGAGGGCGATGAGAATGCCGGATTCTCATTTTAATACAGCTAGCTAGTTAAAAATTAGCTCTAACCAGCACCTGCTTACAAACATGCAGACTTGGAAGACATCTGAAGTAAGCCTTGTTTAGGGAAGTTTTAAATGTTTGATGTTTTATTGTATTTTTAAATATTTAGTTGGGAGCAGTTGAGTGGCTGGGACAACAAAGTCAGACGGGCAACATATAATTAATAATATTGTTATTGTTGTTATTTCCTCCCAGTGGCAGAACTGTCAGGGGGGTGGAAATCATGGATATTCTAACCGCTGAGAGGAAGGGTCAAGTCATACAGTA